CTCGGTAGGGGCGCGCCTGCCACGCACACCCCGAGCTTACCCGGCCGGGACTCGCCGGCACACTGCGTTGTGGGGTCCCGGGGACAGCGGTTTGGATTGGGGGAAGGTGGGGGTGAAGCCCCGCGAGCGAGGTGGGGTTCCTGGGGGCGGTGCAGGGCTGCGCTCTGGACAAGCTCTTGCAGGACAGTCACCCAGGGTAAAGGAGTAGGAGGGAGAGACCCTGAACCCGGACTTCCGAAGGGCCACCCGCTGGAGCCCTGGGACACTGGTATGTTTTAGGGGGAGCTGCAGGTCTCGGGCCGTGGGAGCGGGTGGTCCAGGGCGCTTTGCAGAAAATGACCCTTACCTGTTCGGGGTCTGTATCTACTCCTGTGCCGGGAGCTGCTGCTGGTATGCTTTAGGTAGACACCAGGGCACTGCTGCAGGGAAGCCCGGCTCACTCTTTCTCCCGGGGGGAGTAACTAATAGAGAAACAGTTGGGAACTGGCTGGCATGATTGTCAGCTCTCTGAAGAGATCTCTAGGAAGAGTTCTTTTGCGTTGTTGTGTAGGGATTTGCAGACCCGACCCAACTCCTTAAGAAAACCAGGGGCAGCACAGACAAGCTCAGACTGTTTTAAATTCTAATTTTGCCTCTGCCACTTCTTCTCAGCCTTGAACAAGTTACCCAGTCTCTTAGCCTCAGTTTCCCGACCTATAGGATGACAATAATATCTGCAATGTATTGGGAATAGTGAATAGAATAGCATCTAAAGTTCCCAGCACACTATTGGGGTATTGGCACTTTTCTCTATTCCTTCTACTGCTTCTCATTGGACATTAACGTGCAAGACTAGCCTAAGGTGTTGCCAGGTAGTTTTGCCTGTGCTAATATATTTTTATTGATTTCAGAGAGGAAGGGAGAGGGAGAGGGAGAAAGAGAGAAACATCAAAGATGAGAGAGACCGAGAGGGAGAGAGAGAGAAACATCAAAGATGAGAGAGACTCAACGATTGGCTGCCTCCTGCATGCCCCTTACTGGGGATCCAGCCCACCATCCGGGCATGTGTCCTGACCACTGGGAACGAACTGTGACCTCCTGCTTCATAGATGGATGTTCAACCACTGAGCCACACCAGTGGGGCCCTTTCCTGGATTTAGACGGCCAGTGCATAGACCAGCCAGCTAGGTTAACTCAACTTAGCTCTCTTGCCTCTTGTGTTACCTTAAGGATCATTAAAGAAATTTCTGAGCCACATCCCACTCATACTGACACGTGGATATTAGTAACTGCCTAGGGTTGTTGTGGGCTTAAGTGAGATAAGTGCTGAGTAAGGACACACTTCAAATTAAGTTTCAATTTTCTCCGTTGTAACAATGGCAAGGTTGGCATGGGGATTAAAACCTGCATCTCTTCAGGGCATTTTATTCCCACTTTAGCCCTCAGCCCCATCTTGGACTCATTGCTCAGTGGCTGACACATTACTTTCCCTCGGATTTTCTGTTCTCCCCTCCCCCACAAGCCTCCCTCCCCTTCATCCAGTTCATTCTCCAGATCTGAGTTCCAGCATTTAATCCTCAGTGTGTCCTTCCCAGACCCCTCAGGCTAATCCTTTGTTTTATGTACAGGTGGAACTGGATTTCTACTTGCTGCCAACCATTTATTTCAGTATGCTTGTGTGTGTGTGTGTGTGTGTGTGTGTGTGTGTGTGTGTGTGTGTGTGTGTGATATAACTGGAAAGCTGAGTGCAGATTTTGGTAACTACTTTATGCCCAGATCATATTATTTCTCTGAATAAATCCTGTAATCCTTTCTCTGAGTTTAAAAGCCAACTACAAGGGCTTCCTTCTCTATGTCTTCTGGCTACCCATTGCCTCTGGCCTGTGTGCACTGGGTGTCTTGCTGAGATGTTGGGGAAATTATCATTTCACTGTGGCTTTCTGAAGTTGAACGTCTCAAGCCTAATTCAACTGAAAACATAAAATCTTAGCTTATTGTCCTTTAGTTTTTGAGCCAAAACAAATTACAGGTCTGAGTTTCCTTTAACTCTTTGAAATAACTTATGTACTTGAAACATATTCATAATTACTTCATTATAAACTTTGACTAAGTGCTTATTCTGGATCAGCAGAGAGCAGTCCCTGGGGATAGAAACTTTAAAGAAAAAGAAGATGGAGCTCCTTATAACCTTAATTTTCAAGAGATCTTGTTTATCCCTATTAGTTGAAACATTTAATTTTAGTATGGATTTTCTCATAAAACATTTCTTAGAATAATAGCAATCTAATCATTGAAATCAGATAGAAATATGTAGAAATTGATTTATAATTTAAAAGTCTGTGTGCATGATTTTTTTTTCCTGTAGAAGTAGGCAAAAGAAATTAAATTTCAGAAAATTTCAATGAGTGCTGGAGGTCATTGGCAATTTATAATTTACATATGGTAGATACAATAATAAGGAAAAATAGGGCGTGTCTATGAGCTCACTTCTCATTTCTATATTTGTATGTATTCTACAGGATGGTTTATAAAATCCTCCAATGAAGCTACTGATGTTGTTCCACAGCATAACATGAAGAAGGCATTTTTGGATGAACTGAAAGCTGAGAACATCAAAGCATTCTTATAGTAAGCATATACTTGAAAGTTTATATGGACAGTTTGTTGGAAAATTTAATCTGTTTCAAAGTGTTGATCCAAAATTGCATATATATAGGAACTGACTTTTTAAAAGCTTTATTTGTTGAAGATCTTGTATCACATTATATCTGGACAGGATTTTGTATTGCAGCTGAACTAGACCAGTATGGAAGTTTTAAAGCAGGAGTCAGCCAACTCTCTGGGAAGGGCCTGCTTTTATAGGCCAGCTGATCTCCGTCACAAACCTAGCTCTGCTACTGTAGCACAAAAGAAGCCATAGAAACTGCATAAACGAACAAGTGTGGCAGTTCTGATAAAACTTTAGTTATGGACACTAAAATTGGAATTTTATATAATTATGTCACAAAATATTATTCCTCTTGATTTTTCACCTATGAAATGTGATAACCAGTCTTAGCTGTGGGCTAAACAAAACCAGGAAATGTGCTGGATTTGGTCTGTGGAATTTATTTTCTTCTGTTTTAGAGGAAGATAGTGTATTTTGGTCAAAATAATAAATGTGGACTTAAATTCAAACTTGACTTCACATTTCATCTTTGCCCATTGATAGCAAAGTAACTTTGAGTGAATACTTAACCTTCCTCAGCCCTCCTTTCTGCATCTATAACATGAGGACAATGATACAGCTGTGATGAGGATGAGCTTAGAGAGCATATATGTGATATAGTTTACAATCTAGCTTTCTATTTCCTGAAATAGCTATCTAGTATAGAGCCAAAGAGATAACTGAGTAAATTAAAAATTTATTTGTAAAGCAACTAAAAATAAAACCCTTGTATAAAATGAATATATATGTGTATATACAGTTAACTACAATTTTAGCTTTTCAAAGCATGAAGTTCATTTATTTTTAAGTATGTCTTTATTTTAGAGAGAGAGGAAAGGAGAGGGAGAGAGTGCTAGAAATATCAATGAGAGAGAAACATTAACATCAATAGGCTGCCTTCTGCATGCCCTCCTCTGGGTATTGACCCCGCAACCCAGGCATGTGCCCTGACCGGGAATTGAAGCAGTGGCCACTTGGTTCATGGGCTGACGCTTAACCACTGAACAACACCGGCTGGGTGAAGTCCATTTTTTTAAACAAATTTGCTTAGTGCATGTGTTAAAAAATACTTAAGTCCCTTATAGTGATTTAAAGATTCTTTAGTGAATACAAGTTATAATTTTATATAAGAAGAGTTTTATATAAATACACACATACATGTGCATAGGTGTGTACACACATAATCCTGTGGACACATATGACTATTTTAATTTTGATAGAATTAAAACTGTGAGTAAATATTTGCTGAGGCACCTCCCAGGTCTTTGGCAGGGCCTTTTCAACGGAGAGACCCTGAAGCTTAAACTTTGGAAATCCCTCCTCTGCCTCTTGCTATTTCACTGTAATTAATTATGATAGCTATCATTAAAATGGAGGTCTAGCAAGGGTGAATATTTGTTCTTAGAGCTGCTGTCCCTGCTTCCTTCTCTCTTTCCTTTCCTGTGGTATGGATTGACCAGCAAAGAAGAAAAATGAATGCCTTTTGTTTATTACTTTTTTGGACCCTCGAGCAAAATTGAAACAGTCAGCATCTGGATTATTCTCTATGGCCCTGACCAGGCTATTCTCACTGTTCAGAATTCAAGGATGTTTATCATTAACACACAAAAGAAAGAGATTAAGAGATCCCTCATTCATCCCTCCAAGGACTGCAGAATCTCCAGAAGCCTTCTGAACTCTCCAGATTTCCAATCTGCCCATACAAATTGTTAGCAATTTTAAACAATTTAGAATTATTACTATTTTTTGAAAAAAAATTGATATTCTTGTAGGATCAACAAATTACTTGTGACATACTTCTCAATTGATTAAAACAACAAATAATGTCAAAACTGCTGTTTAATGTCAATTATCTAATTGAGCCCCAAATTTTTGAGAACTATTGAGGTGGCTACAGCCTCCCATGTGCAGATGAGAAATTTCTGACACGGCCAGGATTACATAAATTAGTGGCAAGACCTGAGATACACCACTTGTCTGATTTTATGCTGATTCTTTTTCAGGATCAGCTTTGCTCTAAATGGTGGGTTCAACCCTGATCATAGCACATGGTTGGTGAGGACGAAACTGATAAAAGAAGTTTCAGTCATATAGCAAAGTGTGATAAAGTCTCTCTCCTTTTTTTTGATGTGAGCATGTTCAAGACTCCTCATATCAACTCTTCTTGCTTGTAGGGACAGAGTTGTAGCTGTGACTTTAGGAAATATGCCTAATCTGCATCCACTTCAGTTATGTCACAGTTTGTGATCTGTGTAAAATAGAAGAAAATAGCAACATGTTAGCTGTTTTGCTGTTTTCTTTGCAGTAGGTATACACTGATGAAGGAATAGATAGACTTTTCAGCTGCCTCTTAAATTTCTGTTCTTCTTCCAGAGTAAGTAAAAGGAAGGAAACAATAAAGATTAGAGTGGAAATAAATGACTAAGAGGCTAAAAAACCTCCGCAACAACATAAAAGATCAATGAAACCAAGAACTGGTTCTTTGAAAAGATAAACAAGATTGATGAATCTTTAACCAGACTCATCAAGAAAAAAAGAGAGAGGACCTAAATAAATAAAATTGAAAATGAAAGAGGAGAAGTAACACCTGACACCACAGAAATATGAAGGATTGCAAGAAAATATTATGAATAACCACCTGCCAACAAATTTGACAGCCTGGACAAATGGATAAATTCCTAGAAACATACAACCTTTCAAAGCTGAATCAGGAAGGATCAGAAAACCTGAATAGACCAATTACAACTAATAAAATCAAAGTAGTAATAAAAAAAACTCTTACCAATTTAGAACAAATATTCCAAAAATTTTGGGAATCATGAGAATTGGTTGGAAAGTTTGTAAGGAGGACATTTTGAGAAAAGGGAAGTGTGTGGAAGGCCGCCTGCCCTGTTTATCGGAATTCTGACCTAGGGGAGACTTAGGGGAGTATCGAAGGCAGCGCCCCAAATTATTCCCTGACCTTTCCAAACAAGTCTGTGTACATGCAGACCCCCAGGTGTTTACTGGAATCCTTATGCTTAATCCCTGGGTGCCCTTGCCTAGAGGACAATGTAAACACATGTGTCTTCCCAAAATTACAAGCAGTCCTCGGGTTACATCGAAGATCCATTCCTATGGCGAGCGACCTAACGTGATTTTTGCTGTAAGTCGGAACCCACCTACATAAGCACTTATGTCACTCACATGGAGCACATACACAGCAGTAATGAAGTGAAACAAACAAAAAAAAAATTAAAAGAAAGATAATTCCTGACTTTTACTTGTGGCAAATAAATAATAAAAAAAAAACCCATAAAGCACATATGTAGCTACGTCAAAATGACGGAACTTTTTTTTATATATAAATATTGTAAATGGAAGATGGCGATGTAACCACGAAACGACGTAAGTCGAGTCCAATGTAACCCGAGGACTGCCTGTACTCACCCTACTGATTGTATCTAAAGAAAAAAATTCTAATTAAAGCCTAAGGAGGCAGGGAATCAAGGCTGCCTGGCTTCTTCTGCTGGGCCGTCCCTTAGCCTTTCCCCTACAGTGAAACCATGTTGGAGTAATCTGTTCATCCGTTGTTCAGGGGCTGTTGGTCATCCCCAGCACAAAAATTTATATGGAACCACAAAAGGCCCTGATCAGCCTCAGCAAGCTTGTGAAAGAAAACCAAGGCTGAAGGTATCACATTACCTGATATCAAACTATACTAGAAGGCTATAGTAATCAAAACAGAATAATATTGATACAACAGGCATTTAGATCCATGGAACAGAATAGAGAGCACAGAAATAAACCCTCACGTTTGTTGTTATTTAGTATTTCACAGAGAGGCAAGAATATCGATTGGGGTAAAGACAGTCTCTAATAAATGGTGCTGGGGGAATTTGATATGTACATGTAAAAAATGATACTAGCTTATCAACTTATACCATACACAAGAATAAACTCAAAATGGATTGTAGACTTAAATGTAAGTCAGGAAACAAAAATCCCATATGTAAAAAGGCAATAAAATTTCTCAGGGCAATATTTTTGCAGATATATCTCCTGGAGCAAGGGAAACAAAGAAAAAAAAATAAACAAATGGAACTACATCAAACCAAAAAGCTTTTGTACAGCAAAACCATTAACAACATGAAAAGGGAACCCACTGAATGGGAGAACATAATTGCCAATGATATATCTGATAAGAGGTTAATTTCAAAAACATATAAAGAAATCAAACAACTCAACACCAAGAAGACAAACAACCCAATTTAAAAAATGGGCACAGGACCTAAATAGACACTTCTCCAAAGAGGACATGCAGATGGTTAAAAGACATGAAAAAAATGCTAAAAGTCACTAATCATCAGAGAAATGCAAATTAAAACCACAGTGATATATCACCTCAGGCCTGTCAGAATGGCTATCTTCAATAAATCAATGAACAAGTGTTGGTGAGGATGTGAAGAAAAGGGAACCCTTGTGCACTGTTGGTGGGAATGCAGATTGCCGTAGACATTGTGGAAAACAGTTTGGAGTTTCCTCAAAAAATTAAAAATGGAACTGCACTATGTCCCAGTGATCCTACTTCTGGGAATATATCTGAAGAAACCCAAAACACTAATTTGAAAGATTATATGCACCCCTATGTTCATTGCAGCATTGAAGCATTGTTTACAATAGACAAGATCCAGAAACAGCCCAAGTGTCCATCAATAGATGAGTAGATAAAAAAAGCAGGAGTACATTTACACAATAGAATACTATTTGGCTGCAAAAAAAAAAAAAAATACCTTTTGGGACAGCATGGATGGACCTAGAGATTATTATGCTAAATGAAGTAAGTCCATCAGAGAAAGACAAATATCATATGATTTCATTTACATGTGGAATCTAATGAACAAAATAAAGTGACAAACAAAATAGAAATAGGGGCATGGATACATGGAGCAGACTGACAGATAACAGAGGGGAGGGGTTTGGGGGTCTGTATGAAAGAAGGTGAAGGGAGTAAGCAAAAACCAAAACATATGTACATAACACATGGATACAATGGTCTGGTGATAGAGGAAAAGGGGGGTTGGGGGGAGATGGAGGTGGGCAAAGGAGGGGTGGGGGAGAAAAGAGCCTGTACTTCCAGTAACGGGCACACAATGCAATGTGCAGATGATGTTTAGTTGAGTTCTACACTTGAAAACTATATGGTTTTGTGAATTAATGTCACCCCAATAAATACAATTTAAAAAATTGTGTTCTTGCCTGGCTGGTATGTCTCTGGTTGAGCGTCCACTCATGAACCAAGAGGTCACCAGTCAATTCCTGGTCAGGGCACATGCTTGGGTTTTTGGCTTGATCACCAGTAGGGGGCATGCAAGAGGAAGCCGATAGATGCTGATGTTTCTCATTGATGGTTCTATTTCTCCCTCTCCCCTCCTCTCTCTATAAAAATCAATAAAAAAAATTGTGTTCTTTTGTTACTATATTTTGAAATTATACAATATAAATCCTATGTAGGTTGTTAAGGCCTTAAAATTTACTGAATGGGGATTTTAATACTATTTTTGTAAATACAATTTGAAATATTTTAACAAAAGTATAACAAGTAATCACAGGAATTTTTTAAATTGAGAGTTATTTTTTTTTGGCAGTTGGTTTTTCAAATTAAAAGTTCAGCTACACTGTAGAATTAAACATTTGAAGTTGGGATCATCATAGCTATATTGCCTATTAATTTTTTAAAATTGCGTAAGAATGGCAGATTGATTTTAGTAAAACCTCCATATTTAAAACCAGAAATTTATGAAGTTCAAGAAGTTAATGAGCTATAAATAAATGTCTTTACATGATATATGTTGCTTTGACATGTGGAATTTTCCTTTTTCTTTTTTTTTTTCCATTAAGGAGTTTAAGTTGAAAATACCAATGAGCTGAATCTTCAAGGAAATAACAAATTTCCAGGCAGAAAATATTTAAAACACACAAAAACACCAGCATCTGCACATATATTTAATGAGAAATTAGTCTACTCATGAAAATTATATCTGTTAGTCCTGGTTAGAATAATTCTCACCATGCTTTTTAAGTGTATTACTATGCATGATGGATAGAGTTCAAGAGGTTCACTTTAAGCTTGTAAATATGTTCACATTATTCCTTACTAATCAAAAGGTTTTTCACTTGAATATAACTTTCAATATTGAAAATACTTGTAATTACCAGTAATTCTTGGCATGTCACAGCTTGGTATTTTGGATGAAAATATTTTTCTCTCTCAAATATTTTGCACAGCGACATAAAAGCAGGCAATTCTATGAAAGTTCCAAGAGTCATGGCTCTTAAGGAAAGAATATGGCACTTCCCTCATCTGCTATTCAGGGATATGTCCACTGGGTCACACGTAACAGTTCTCTGCACAGATCAGTTTCTCCACTTTTTCCCTTCAATGAGTACAAATTAGAGCATGAAAACTTCAAAATACACTTTGAAAATCTATTTGCTGCAATAATTCTACCATTTTCCTTTTTCAATGTATCACATTTCAAAGTATTTTTTATGTAAATCTGCCTTAATTGGTTGTTGATTTGAGATAAAGTCTGACTAAACATTAATTTCTAACTACTTTCAATTTTTGTTCACCAGTAATTTTACACGGATTCCACATTTAGCAGGAACAGAACAAAACTTTCAGCTTGCAAAGCAAATTCAATTTCAGTGGAAAGAATTTGGCCTGGATTCTGCTGACTTAGCCCATTATGATGTCCTGTTGTCCTATCCAAATAAGACTCATCCCAACTACATATCAATAATTGATGAAGATGGACATGAGGTAAAAAAAAAAAAAAGATTAGGAAAGAAACTCCCCCATCTATTTTTTTCAAATACTTCCTATGAAAGAATGCACTATACATCTCTAGTTATTGATAGAAATCAATATTATTGAAACTGGCAAATGATGCCTTGAATATTTCATTACCAGTATCAACTTTCTTATGCTGTTTGAATTTAATGCTGATGTTGGAAAGATTCTGAGAAATTGATATTTGGTAACAGTTGCTATTTTCTATTTTTTAGTATTGTACACTAACTTAAACTATGAGATAAAATTAAGCTCCCAAGCAACTAAAATTGATACATTTCTGAGAGGTTCAGACCATAAAAGATACTGCCCAGATTGGGGGTTGCTAGGAAAATCAGAGACCCAGTGTGCAATTTGAGCCAGAAAGTTTTTATTGGTTCTTAATGATTATGTCTCATATGGTCATGTGTTCAGCTCCGTACCCAGAACTCAGATGTATTTGGAGGGAAAGTCTATAGCATATCTAGTCTAAAGAATTTACAATCTTGTTTGCAAGTTAGGGCACATACTTAAAGAGAAGACAGCCCTGGCCAGTTTGGCTCAGTGGATAGAGCATTGGCCCATGGATGGAAGGGTCCTGGGTTTGATTTCAGTAAAGGGCATGTACATTGGTTGCAGGCTCTATCCCTGGCATCGATGTGTCTCTCTCACATCGATGTTTATTCTCTCTGTTTCTTCCCTGCTCTTCCATTCTCTCTAAAAATCAATGGAAAAAATAGCCTCCATTGAGAATAAATAACAAAAAAAGGGAGGGAGGGGTGGAGGCAATCCACATAATTGAGCTATTTCTTATCATGAAATATATTCAGTATGAAAACTCAGAACTCATATATTCATTGCTAGTTAGCACACCTTAGTTTTAGAACTACCATACCTAACTAAAATAGTCCTCTTCAATCCAGATAGCTTCCTTTAGTTCTTTTCTTAGCTGGGGCTTCTAAATTATATATAGCTTCAAGTTTGTTTAGCTTGATTAGTGATCAAGCTTGATCAATATTGATGTTAAAAATATACATACGCTTAAATCTCTGTCCTGGTCTAACAAATTTGGGGATTGTTTATGTACAATCAGGAAAATAGCTAACTTCCAGTCCTTTTTTTCCTTCGTTAACTCCCAATTTTGACTGTAGCTTTGCTTTTGTTATTCCATTTCATTATTTTTGCCATTACAAACATTTATGCAAGTCCTAAAGCCTGTTACATAATATAAGCATATCACATAGAAGTTTCATTTTGGAGGTTTTCCTGAATGGTGTTAATTGCCTAAAGCTTCTTAATTTTTTAAAGTTATATCACTAGTTTATTTTCACTTATGTTGTTTAAAAATTTATCTTTATTGTTGAAAGTATTAAAGATGTCTCTCTTTTTTTCCTTTCTCATTGACCCCCTCCACCCAGCACCTCCCCGCCCCCCCACCTTCCCAGACCTTCACCACACTATGGCTATGCAAATCCTCCTATATAATAAAAGCCTAAGATTCTAAATGTCCGGTCGGCTGGTCATCCATTCAACCAATCAAAGTGCAATATGCTAATGATATGCTAAGGATGCTCAACTGCTTGCTATGACATGCACTAACCACCAGGGGGCAGACGCTCCAACCAGTAGGTTAGCTTGCTGCTGGGGTCTGGCCGATCAGGACTGAGTGAGATGGGCTGGACACACCCGGGAGCCCTCCCATGGTTCTTCTTCAACTGGCCAACCTCCACATCCCTCCCTGGCCCCTATTGTGCACCGGTGGGGTCCCTCGGCCTGGCCTGTGTCCTCTCACAATCCGGGACCCCTCAGGGGATGTCAGAGAGCTAATTTCAGCCCGATCCCACAGGCCAGACTGAATTTGTGCACTGGGCCTCTTGTTTATAATAAAAGGCTAATATGCAAATTGACCAAACAGCATAACAACCAGTTGCTATGACACGCACTGACCACTAGGGGGAAGATGCTCAATGCAGAAGCTGCCCCCTGGTGGTCAGTGCACTCCCACAGGGGGAGCTCTGCTCAGCCAGAAGCCGGGCTCACAGCTGGTGAGCACAGTGGAGGTGGTGGGAGCCTCTCCTGCCTCCACAGCAGCGCTAAGGATGTCTGACTGATGGCTTAGGCCGGCCCCCTACAGCCTAAGCCAGGGGTGGGCAAACTTTTTGACTCGAGGGCCACAGTGGGTTCTTAAACTGGACCGGAGGGCCGGAACAAAAGCATGGATGGAGTGTTTGTGTGAACTAATATAAATTCAAAGTAAACATCATTACGGTCTTTTTTTTTTTTTTAGTTTTATTCATTTCAAACGGGCCGGATCCGGCCTTGCCCATGGCTGGCCTAAGCTGTCATTCGAACATCCCCCAAGGGCTCCCAGACTGTGAGAGGGTGCAGGCCAGGCTGAGAGAACCCCTCCTCCACCCCCACAAGTGCAGGAATTTCGTGCACTGGGCTTCTAGTATGCATATAAATTCCCTGGTTAATCTCTCCTCCCGTCCACCCCCCATCTTCCCTCTGGGATTTCTCTACTTTCATTTATGTTTTTATCCAAGTTACACGTGCACATAAAGAATTACATAATCACATAGTTCTCCAAAGTGCCTTGCTTCCTTCCTAGTTCCCCCTTCCCTGAGGCAATCACTATTCAAACCTGAGTTGATTCTTTTGATATTTACCACTGTTTCCTTAAATAGCATGCTTATATTGCTTGTGTTTCAGATTCACGCATAATCTTTTGACATCCTGATAGTTCAGCTCCATTTTCCTCCCTCTGTCCTAACTACAAACGCTCTCTTACTGTCTTCCCAGTAAGGGGAGAGGGAGAGAGAAAGAGAGACATCCATGCCAGAAGGAGACGTTGATTATCTGCCTCCTGCACGGCCCCAACCAGGGATTGAGCCTGCAACCCAGGCATGTGCCCTGACCAGGAATTAAGCAGGTGATCTCTTGGTGTATGGGTCAACATTCAACCATTGAGCAACACTGGCCAGGGCAAACTGTAACTTTTTTTCTCCTTTGCAACACAGACAAGTTGCACCTCCCATAGGCAACAGATATTAGTGTTTTGTAGATTCCAGAAATATTTTAAGCATATATAGACACATTCTTTTACCTTTGTTTATGTAGATATTATATATAATATAAATTGAACTACATATTGACTGGTTTATCATAACAAGTAAATAGAAATTTGTAAGCCAAAATTTTTTTAGTTATGCTCAGAATAGTTAAAATTATATTAGTGAATTTAGGAAAGTGAACAATGTTCACTGGTATATAAGACTATATATATGACCTTTGAAAAAGTCACCCAAAAAAGTTATTTCCTTGACTTTAAAAAACTTTTTGTAGTTGTTAGGATAACTCATAAATGCTTTGAAATCCGCTTGCTCAGTAGTGCTATAAAACTGAAGATTAGTATAAAGGCAAATCAAGTGAGACAAGCTTGAATACTCCCTTGGCTGAAAGACTTGCTGATGTAGTGACTTCGTTTCTAGAAGGATTTTTATTGCACTTTAGTATATTTTCTTTTATAATCCTTCCAAGTGATTCAGATGAGTTTGCTTCCTTTGCGGATACCAGAAAAATTATGAGAAATATGGAAGATGTGAGGATTTTTGGAGGATAGTAGTTTGATTTTATGTTGGGTTCTGTCAGCCTCAGGAGAGGTAGCTTACTAGTGCTCTGGTTAGTACAATATGTTAGCCCAGCTTCACTCCCCAACTCCCATCACCCTTTGTACTGCTGCACTGGCAAAACGTTCAAAAGAAGTGGTGATAGCAGATATCCTTGACTGGAGGGAATGTTTTAACCATTAATTTCGATATTTGCTGTAACTATGTTAAGTAGGCATCAGATTTTTCAAATTTCCAAATTACGAAAAGACATAAAACTAATATAATTAACCTATCAAAAAAAAAAAGAAAGGAAAAGAAGCATTAGGGGAAGAAAAGGGAGAGTAAAAATCATATAATAAAAAGGTGTAAGTGACCTTACATACTGTATATCAGTAACTATAAAATCATGTAATTAGTAATTCTCCGGGGCAATTTGTTTCCCCTCTACTGCAAGCCATCACTTTTTGTAGGACAGGTTTACTTCTAGTTTATTCTTTTTTTATTGTTTAAAGTATTACAAATAGTAGTACATATATCTCCTTTTTTTCCCCCATTGACCTTCCCCTGGCCTTCCCTCCCCCGCCCCAAACATGCCTTTTTTTTTATACAAGTCCTTCGGTTGATCTCTTACCCCCACTCCCCAACACTTCCCAGCCTTCCTGCTGTAATTTGACTGTCACTTCTAGTTTATTCTTAACCCTAAAGGATGTTGCTTTTTTAAAAAATATATTTTTTTATTGATTTCAGAGAGGAAGGGAGAGGGAGAGAGAGATAGAAACATGAATGATGAGAATCATCCATCGGATCGGCTGCCCCATACTGGGGATGGAGCCTGAAACCCCTGCATGTGCTCTTGACAGGAATTGAACTGGAGACCCTTCAGTCTGCAGGCTGATGATCTAAACCAGCTGGGGCAAGGATGTTGCTTTTTGAAGACCCAGCTTTTATGCAGAGGTCTCCTGTTACACTCTATTATTTGGATGGGCTCTGGACTTGTTTTTTAATGCCTTTGCCCTCCCATAGAGTCCCAGGCTTTGATAGATCCAGCTAAGGGAAAATGATTTTATTGCTCATCTCAGAATTCCTGCTTTCATGTTATTCTTTTAGCTTCTGATTCTTTCCTAAACTTCCCCCTGCCCCCAATTCAGTGATACACTTAAAAATATAATACTTTATGTTTGGTTCAGTGTTTTAAATTCTTTTCAGAGTGAATGTTGTTTATATATCTAGATACTATCAGATATAGATCTCCCCCCAATGTAATTTTTGTTATTGAAGTGAACTTAATATTTAATGTGTTCCTAAGTTATTATCTTCGCATTGTTCTAAGTGACTATGATTACCGTACAATGTTACTTTTTATTTTTAGAATAAAATGTTTCTCCTAAAACAAAAGCTGGTATATATATATAGATTTTCTCAGGGTCTGTAATTTATTCATCTCATAAAAGCCTACCATAGCTTCCAGCACAGTGCTAGGTGTTTGATATGTATTTTCAAAATACTAAAGGATTGATTAACCCTCTACTGACAAAAAAGATAATACACGGTTATCCTTATTTAATTGTAGAATCCAAATTTTATCTGACTTACTTCTAATTATTCTATTTCTCTAGATTTTCAACACATCATTATTTGAACCACCTCCTCCAGGATATGGAAATATTTCAGATGTTGTGCCACCTTACAGTGCTTTCTCTCCACAAGGAATGCCAGAGGTAAAAATCCAATGCAATAAAATAATAATAATAATAAAAAACCCAGCACCCACTCATACATCCAGGCAATAATTAAGGGGGCATTACAAGGTTTTCTGATATAATCCAAATTCATCCTTTTCCACATTTAGGAAACTAGAATTTCTTACTAAAAAATAGGAATATTTATTATTGTGTTCATAGTGCTTTTTAAGATAAAATTTACTACAATGATATGCATAAATCAAAATGTACATTTATTGACTTTTGACAAATGCCTATACCTGTGCAATTCAAACCCCATCCACAGATAGGCTATTACTTCCAAAAGTGCCTTTATGCCCCTTCTCAATCAACTCCACACACCCCGGGGCAACCACTGTTCTGATATTTTTGCCACTGTTGATTAGTTTTGCCTATTCTAGAAATTCATATAAATGGAAATGTATAGCATTTAATCATTTGTTTCTAGTTCTTTTTACGAAGCATAATCTGTGAGATTCACATTTTAGCATTTATCAGAAGTTTGTTCCTTTTTATTGCCAAGTAATCCCTATTGTATGAAAATACAATATCTTACTGTTGTATAGCACTGAAATTTTCAAATAATTGGAATAATCATTTTGTAGCCATTTTCAAATGAAGAAGTTTAATGTCCATTCTAGAGAATCTTGTGATTTGCCCAGTAAAGCACTGTGCATACAGTCATCTGAAACTGTACAACTAACCCCCAGGTATTTGCACAGTATTTTGTTTTTTATGAGAAAACTATATTTGAAACAGTTGAATATAATCTATTAGCATCTTTTTACAAGTTTTCTCTCCTGCTATAGTATTTAATATGAAGTAAATTCAAGTTTGGACATATTGAGTTTAAGGTGCCTAGGTTATATTCACAAGAAGTTGCTAATTGACAGTTGGGTATATTGAAGCCTCACTCAATAGAGAGGTAAGGGCTTGGGCTATTATTAGAAGCATCCTGGGTAAAAAAAAAAATCACATTTAGAATTAAATTGATATTTACAAAACTATCTTTACCAATCAGGATTTATAGGGACAAGTTAATATCAGATAATGCCATATTTTAATAAGGAAATTAAAATTCATATTATTTTTATTATTTTCAAATGTATTTGATTAATTAACTTATTTATAATTTTAAAATGTTATAAACTTAGAAGGATTTCTTGTTGTTGTTTGAAACTTACTTTGAATGAGTAATTGATATTTTATCTAATGATATAATATTGGAAAAAATTTTCCTAAAATTAGCACATAAACAGAATGTTTGCAATTATTTAATAATTTTATACTTGACATGAGATAAAAATAAAGACTATAACAGTCAGCAATATTGTTTCTTAAATATTTGTTATTCATCTCATATTGGTTTAAATATTGCAAATAACTTCTAGTTTTTCATCTATTTGTTACTTACATTGCCCTTTATTTAAAATAAATCTTTAGTTTTGATATTGTATAATTGTTATTTTTATACAATTTGGATCTCCTTTATTAATCACCTCCATTATTTATAGTGATATGTTTGTATAAGTGGAATATAAAAAAAGCACGAATACATCTTTATTATAAAAATAGCATAATATTACCAGATTGGAGTTAAATGTGTTTGTATGTGTGTGTACATAAATGCTATATAATAGCAAAAAATATAACAAATTTAATTTAAAATAGACATAAAAATAAATAAAATGGCCATAAAATATAAAATACACTTTAAAAATCATAAAGTTAAATGAGTATGAACTAGTTGAAGAACACTGAAATTTATTGAGCAGTGAAAATATTATGTATAAAGAAACATAGTATTTCTGGATGGGAAGATAGGATTATAAGGAGGAAAGTATACCCACATTAGTTTGGGGTTTTACTATATAATCAGTAAAACTCCCTAAATAATTTTGAACTTTGACAGAATTATTCTATTCATAAGAGAGTCATAGAGATTATTAATTCACATTTTTCAAGTATACTTAAGCTATTCCAGATTAATGGGAGGACCAAAGGAGCATGTGATTCTTCATGGGACTGCTGTTTGTGTTCAAATATTAGATGAGTTTGCTGGCTGGTATGCCTCACTGGGTCCCCTGTAACCCAGCTAAAGGAGTGTTAATTCTTTTAAAATTATGTCTGTTTGTCTGTATGCTTAAGGTATTTCCCTGTCAATAATTTTGGATCTTTATCTGAATCCTCTGGAGTATGAAATTCTGGGTTTTGCTTTAGCCTATTTGAAATTAGCAATTTGACAATGTCCATAAAATGTAGTCTAATCTAGGGGTTCTCAAACTTTAGCATGAATCGAAGTAATCCAGAGGGTTTGTAAATCTCAGATTCTGGTCCCTCCCCGCTGAGTTTCAGTAGGTCATAGGTGAAGGTTGAGAGTTTGTTCCCACGGTCTCAGGTGATGTTGATTCTGAGGGTTCAAGAACTATGCTTTAAAAACCACTCGTCTTGCCTCCCAGTTTTGTGTTCTATTAACAGGAGCAGAAAGATGGAAGCTTGAAAGAAATGGAAAATTCTAGGCTAACAGTGCAAGATTGTATTTATTCCCAGTCATAGAACAATGGTGCAGTGTAAATTTTACAGGGTCATTGTCTGAAAACAAAGCTTTTTTCTAATTCACAGTGGCAACTTGCATATCTAGAACACTGTTTTCATTTTCAAAGTCTACTGTCATTTTAAAACTACTGTCTTCTTTAGTCCCTTCTCTATTATAATTTGTTTTATGAAAACTTCAGATTTATCAAAAGATAGCCAAAATTTACAGAGATTTAAAAAAGTAGTCTTTAAATATGGATAAATTTCAGGTAGGATGCTTACACTAAAACAACATTCACTAAAATCAAATTGCTTCATTACTCTGTAGTCACAATTAGAATAAGAGTGAACTCCAAAGAGGCCTAACAGTGATAAATCAGACATGAAGAACTATCATTAATAGTGCATTAACATTGCTTTGATATCAGGAGAAATAAAAGTAATCCTTTTACCAAAGCAAAGATTCAATTGCCACCTTCTCAATAGACTTTCCTTTCCTCTTTTTATTTAAAAATGGTCCTGCCTGAGTCCCAGTTCGTTGTTTGCCTACTCTATTTACATTTTTAAAAAAATTTTTCTACAGCAACTATCACCTTTTAATATACTGTGTCATTTACTTAGTAACTTTATTGTTTATTATCTTTTTTTAAAAAAATATATTTTATTGATTTTTTACAGAGAGGAAGGGAGAGGGATAGAGAGTTAGAAACATCGATGAGAGAGAAGCATCGATCAGCTGCCTCCTGCACACTCCCTACTGGGGATGTGCCTGCAACCAAGGTACATGCCCTTGACCGGAATTGAACCTGGGACCCTTGAGTCCGCAGGCCGACGCTCTATCCACTGAGCCAAACCGGTTAGGGCTATTGTTTATTATCTTATCTCTCCTTCCACATGCATGTAAGTTCCTTCAAGGCCAAGAATTTGGCATATCTCTAATTCCTAGAACTCTACTGAGCACATAATAAAATCATATATATATCTTCCACAAATTTGTCAAATCTTAGAATACACTTGGAAATGACTTCATTTGAGTATCTGTTATAAATATGTTGTGCATATGCCATGAGAAATGTAGTCAAAGAGGGAAACAAAGATGTTAGAAATCATCTAGGACAGGGGCTTCAAGCTAGAATGTGTGAAGACTTTCCAAAGGCAGGCAGGGGACCATTTTAAAGAGATGAGTTACATCATCCATTTCTCAGTGTACTCTCTGATGGAAGTGGGAACTAGCCTGTGGTGAGATCCTGCTGGTACTCTGTCACCATCTCCTTATTTATAGTCATTTTTTTTCTCTTAATAATGAAAGACATCATCCACCCATTCTAAAACAATATAAAGCATATTTTTGATTTGTCAAAAAAAATCCCTGGAGCTCCACACAAAGAGATGGTGGTGCAAGATTCTAACAGCTGGCTGGGTAACAAGTGATTTGACAAATCAAATGATTTGCAATGGAACAAAATTAAAGCTGAGCCTAATTGAGTTTCCTACTGGCATCGTTAGAATTAACTTGGATGATAGGTCAGTGCATGATTTGGGAATTATAACTTGGAAGGAATTTAAGTAATTTAGTGAAGGTTTCATGACAAAATTTTTTCATTCCTATCCCAAGGTTTCCGAGAACTTTTATCTAAAAACAGGCAATGTGAACAGAACTGATGCTGGGTCCTGTCTCATTGTAGCCATAGTTTGTTCATTCACAGATCCGTGGCCCAATTTTTAATATTTCATAGCGTCAAGAGATATTTTTCAAGTACAATTTGATGCTTAAGTACTATTTTTAAAAAATTGTAATGATGTTGCTAGACTCAATTAGATACTACTATTATTATAACTTACTTCTGGAGAATTTTCATTACACAGATAGCCTGTCATAGGAAATACTTTTTTGTTGTTTTGTTTTGTTTATCCTCACCGAAGGATATTTTTCCATTGATTTTTAGTAAGAGTGGAAGGGAGGGTGAGTGGGGGAAAAAGAGAAAGGAAGAGAGAAACATCAATGTGAGAGAGACACATCCACTGGTTGCCTCCCCCCCCATGCACCCTGACCTGTGCTGGGAATTGAACCTTCGACCTAGGTATGTGCCCTTGACTGGGAATTGAATCCTCAACCCTTCGGGTGTGTGCCAACGCCTTAACCACTTCCTAACTCTGGCCAGGGAGGAAATACATATTTTTAAAAATTCAATTTACATGTTAATCAAGGGAAGTTTGCCAGTGATTAATAAAAGACTCTCAAGCATACCCAGAGACTGAAGTGGAATTTAACATGCTAGATGTTAATTAGGAAGTGTTCTCTTGGGATCGATATTTTTGGCAGGGAGGGGAAGGAAGCTGGATTACGCAGAGGGAGAGGTTTCACCTCAATGTCAGCTCACAGACACCCTCAGCTGACATGATGGGCAGCTCTGGAGTCAGAATTGCCCATCATATTGGTCCTGGGTTGGACTAAGGTGTCCAGGTCTTAACACTTCCATGTCAATCAGTCATTGAATGTGTTGCATTCTAAAAAAAGGACATGACTTTGAGCAAGGTGGCTGTCTGTAGCAAACCTTGAGCAAGGGGCTGACACCAGAAGGCTGCCTGCTGAGAGCCTTCCCTGCAGCTGGAGCAAGAATCTCTCACCGAAGGGAAATCTGGCAGCACATGCCAGTGCCCAGCACAGATACATTTTACTTTAGAGGAGAATGTTTTGGGGGAAGAGGGACAGAAGTTCAAGGGGAAAAACAATGATAAAATTCTGACTAAAGAGAATAGTGTATTTCTGTATTTTTAAAATGATGATATTGAATAGTAAATCATCACAGTCTTTAATATTTTTGGACACAAAAAGTGAGGAAAAATTTCTTGAAAAATGTTAATACGTATATACTGGAAATTGCATCATTTACAACTCCTTAAAGGTATGATAACAAATTTTATTTTATTTTATTTTAAATTTTTTTATTGATTAAGTTATTACATATGTGTCCTGATAAAAAATTTTAGATGCCAACTTAAAAATATTGTATTTCAAAGTCAGTATAGGAAGTAGGTGAGCAAAATACGTTTGAAGACTATTGATCTAATCTAATAGACCATTTTATAAATGAGAGTCCAGTCATATGCCAGTTGGGACATGTTCTGGGAAGTGCATTGTTAGGCGATTTCGTCATTGTGTAAACATCATAGAGGGCACTTACACAAGCCTAGATAGTAGAGCCTATGACACTCCTAGGCTATATGGTATGTCTCTGCTGTCTATGCTGTCCCTGGTTGACCGAAACATTGTTATGTAGCATGTGACTATATTGAAACTCAGAGATGTTATAAGACTTGCACATAATCACACTAATGATATGAAGCCAGACCGTAGAGCAGTGATATTACCTGACCTCTGACCTTTCCCCCTTAACTGGTGGTTGTAAAGACCCATTAAGCTACCGTTTCTGAATATACTCCAAAGAGAATAAAGCTCTCATCAGGAACTTCTTAACCTAAGGTGTCTGGACTCCTTTAAATTGCATGCAGCAATGTGTATATTTATATACATTTCCTTCCTGGGGAATACTTCTATGGCTTTATAGCTGCTATGGAGGAGACAGATAAATTAAAAAACAAACAAAAAAACTTACTGTTAAATTCCTATGTCTAATCCAGCTAATCGCCTTCTGAATGCAAGTTCTTTCTCCCTGAATCTTTTATCTGAGGCGCATGCTTCTCTGACCCTCCTGTGTGCTCTTGCTCTTCCCTATTTTAAAAGATGTGAAATAGTGCAGAGCAACTTGCTTGTATTCAGTTTTACTTGTTCTAAGTCATGTATGATCTCAACAGGGTGATCTAGTGTATGTGAACTATGCACGAACAGAAGACTTCTTTAAACTCGAGCGGGATATGAAAATCAATTGCTCTGGGAAGATTGTTATTGCCAGATATGGGAAAATTTTTAGAGGAAATAAGGTAAAAATCATCTCCTTTTTGTTCTCCACAGATATAAAGTTACATTGTGTCATGTGTGTAGAATCATATCCTTAAAACTTTTTGAGGATTATGATCCTCTCGTGTTCTGTAACATGCCCACTTTATAGTGAGGACACCTCTGCTAGCTCATAGACCGGGTTTTTGTTTCTTTATTATTTTTTTTATTGATTTCAGAGAGGAAGGGAGAGGGAGTGAGAGATTAGAAACATCAATGATGAGAGAGAATCATTGATTGGCTGCCTCCTGCATGCCCCCTACTGAGGATTGAGCTCACAACTTGGGCATGTGCCCAGACTGGGAATCAAACCTGTGACCTCCTGGTTCATAGGTTGATGCTCAACCACTGAGCCATGCTGGCTGGGCTAGACAGGGATTTTGAGGGGCCATTGCAATGTGGCTCGTGTGATAGATCAGGGAGTATAGAGAAGATTTTTTTCCATGCCTACAAATTATGCCTATGGTCTACAAAGAAGTATGTGTTGGATTTGTTAACCTTTATTTGGCAGCTTTTATTATAATATTAACTTTGAAATTATTTACTACATTTAATTTTAATATGAATTGTTATAGGTAATGTTAGAGGGCACTTACACAAGCCTCTATATATATAGCAGTTTTTAAAGTTATGATCACTTGATTTGTTGTATATATATATTTACATATATACATATATTTTTTCCTCTTTCATGGGAAATTAAATTTCAAAGGTATTCCTTTCAACCATAGAATAAATGGGAATCTGGCGGGATTGTTGTGCTTTTAGACCAGTGGGAGAAAACTGCAAGTGCTTGCTACCACTAATGAGTACATTATCCGCATGTGCTCCTTTTAGGGCTGTCACCTTAGAGCCTGTAGTAGGGTGGGAAAAAGCCAATTCTCTGTGAATTATTCTTTGTTGTTGGTCTAATGATAAAAGATTAAAAATAAAAAGTTTGGTTACTTACTTAAGGATAATTTTGAGAATTGATATCACCAGATTTGGAACAACCAACCTGAAGTAAGAGACATTGTGTTTCACAGGTTAAGAACGCCCAGCTGGCGGGGGCCAAAGGAATCATTCTGTACTCAGACCCTGCTGATTACTTTGCTCTTGGGGTGGCGTCCTATCCAGACGGTTGGAATCTTCCTGGAGACGGTGTCCAGCGTGGCAATGTCTTAAATCTTAATGGTGCAGGCGACCCTCTCACACCTGGTTACCCAGCAAATGGTGAGCAACCAGGCCCTCATTATCATAGGAAACTTAACACTTTATGAAAGGACAACATAGCATGTCTTCTTCTTATTCTCTTTGCATCTAAGAAAAAAATTAAAGAGTTTTGAACTCTGAATATTATCAATTCAGTTCCCTTATCCCTTGTTTGGAACCCTTGGGCCTGATGGGTTTTGGAATTCAAACATTTAAAAGTAATACGGTGCATATACCATACATTGCGTAATACTCAAATACAGGCTGGGACAATACAGGAAGCAAGCATATACATAGTTTTGCAGCAAAATGTATGAATAATCACACCAAGCTGGGTTAAAGTAGTATGAGTAGCCTGTGTCTGCTTACGTCAGATTTTGCTGTCAGAGGAAATTAGGTCAAATCGGCTTGTGTTGCCAAGTTACTCTCCTCCAAATGCATGGTTTTCACAGTTTTGGAATTTCACAACCTTGGACAAAAGATAGTAGAACAGAGAGTCCAGAAAATGCTTTATATTGCATCTTTGCCATATAAAGACAATAGTGATAACTTTCAAGGAGTGTTTCCTAAAGGCCAGCTCTTCACCTGCATTAAAAATCTTTCAAGCGTGGTAGTATTGTTCTCTCTATTTGGCAGAAGACAGAAATGAGGTTAGGAGTAGGAAGCAGTGTGCCCCAGATTATGACACCACTAAATGAGGAGTGGGGGTTCAAAGGCAGGCAGTCTGGCTCCAGAGTCCACATGCTTGTCTGGGGCTGAAATAGTTCCCTGTACAGCTGTAGATCATTAACAAAGGGAGCGAATTCATTTGAATGTGCTTAGTTTGTGTGGTTTAAAACTAACTGAGGTGTATAACTTGAATAAAATCTGTTGCCAAGTGTCTGGTGTATTTTTTGTTTTTTTTAATTCTTTACCAAATTGTAGATTCCTCTAAAGCTTACGTACCTTGACTTTGTAAATCACATAAATATACTGGGACTTATGTCACCCTCTAATTTAACATGATATTTTTTTAGGAAGGAAAGTCATGTTATTGAATTCCCATTTCTTTTTTAAAAATATATATTTTGACTTTTACTTATTGATTTGAGAGAGAAAGAGAAACATCAATTTGTTGTTCCACTTATTTATACGTTCATTGATGGATTTCTTGTATGTGCCCTGACTGGGGATCAAACCCATAACCTTGGCAAATCGGGACAACGTTCCAACCAACTGAGCTACTTGGCCAACGCCTGCTCTATTCTTTAAAAATTTTATTATTTATTATGGAACAGTTCAAACATATATATTATACATAACATATAACATATAATGCATGATAAGAGATAATTATCAACAGTCAATTGTTAATCTTGTTTCATCTGTTCATCCCTATTTATTTGTTTATTTATTGTTATTGCTCTAGAGAATTTTAAAACAAATGTCACGTGACATATTGTCATTTTACTCATAAAAAGAAAAAAGATTTTGCCATCATGTGAAGTTCTCAGTGGATAATTTAAAATTTTGGAGAAAAAAATTGCTTTTATTTATTTTAATCTAATCTTTAAAAATTTTATTATTTATTATGGAACAGTTCAAACATATATATTATACATAACATATAACATATAATGCATGATAAGAGATAATTATCAACAGTCAATTGTTAATCTTGTTTCATCTGTTCATCCCTATTTATTTGTTTATTTATTGTTATTGCTCTAGAGAATTTTAAAACAAATGTCACGTGACATATTGTCATTTTACTCATAAAAAGAAAAAAGATTTTGCCATCATGTGAAGTTCTCAGTGGATAATTTAAAATTTTGGAGAAAAAAATTGCTTTTATTTATTTTTTTAATCTAAAGAAATGACAGAATGTATGTTTCTATTTTGAAGTTGAGTTTACAAGCACTAAAATTCACAGATCTTTAGAGTTCAGTTCAATAAATTATAAAAATTGCATACATCTGTGTTACTCAATATAAAATATAGAACACTTCCATGAGTTCAGAAAGTTCTGGTTGTTTTTATTGTACCCTCAGAAGCAACCACTTTCTGATGTCACCATTGGTTAGTTTGCCTGGTTTGGGGCTTAATATAAAATGAATGAAACAGTATGTACTCTTTTATGCCTTGCTGCTTTTACTCAGTATAATGATTTGAGATTTATCCATGTTATATTAGTAATTTGTTCCTTTTATGTTGTTGTTGTTAATCGTCACCCAAGGATATTTTTTTCCATTGAGTTTTAGAGAGAGTTGAAGTGAGGCAAACGGAGAGAGAGAAAGAGAAACATCTATGTGAGAGAGACAAATCAATTAGTTGCCTCCTGCATGCACCTTGACAGGGACTGGGGGTGGAACCCACAACCCAAGTTCATGTCCTTGATAAGGAATTGAACCCGAAACCCTTTGATGGTCAGGCCGGCATTCTAACCACTGAGCGAATGGCCAGGGGAGTAATTTGTTTCTTTTAACGGCTGAGTAGCATTATATTGTGGGACTGTATTACAGATTATGTATTCATTCTCCTGTTGACTGACACCTGGACTGTGTCCAGTATTTGGCTAAGATAAATGGGGCTATTATGAGCAGTTTGCATGAGTCTTTTTGTGGAGATATGATATGTTTTCATCTTTTTGACTGAGAAACAGAAATCCTATGCCATAGGCAACATTTCTGTTTAACATTGCTTTTCAAAAGAGTTATCCAGTGTGACTGCACAATTTTACACTCTCACAAGCACTGTATGAGAGTTTCCCCCACCCCCAGTCTGGCTAACATTTGAAATTGCCTGTCTTTTAATTTCAACAATTCCTGTAGATGCAATATGAAAATATGTTTAACATGACTTACAGAAAATATTTTGAAAAGGACTGACTTTTTATTCTTTCAGAATATGCTTATCGACGTGAAATCCCAGAGGCTGTGGGCCTTCCAAGTATTCCTGTTCATCCGATTGGATACTTTGATGCACAGAAGCTCCTGGAGTAAGTTTGTAAGAAACAATCAGATGGCGTACTTCTCTTTATTCTCTTTAAAGTCTTCAACTTTTAAACTTTTATCTCCATTATTTGATATTGAAATTCTCCGAGGTGGGTGAAACACTTAATTGTATCACCATTTTGTAGAACAATGGTTCTGTTCTGGAATTTACTTTACATCTCAGTATGTCCTGTGTGACAGCCATGAGAATGAGCCTTTTGGATCTCCAAATGCAGGGAGCATAACTGATCAATTGCTCCAGCCACTGTGCCTTGAAATGCATCACCCTGTTTGTGTCAGGGCCACGCTTCCCACAGCTGCTCCCAGTCAGTGCCTGAGTGGCTCAGGGATGCTAAACCAGGCCCATTATGGAAAGCACCGGACTCTTCTGATGGGAAATTTTGGCCGAGGACTCCCCAATGTCCTTGCTTAACTCGATGCTACCACCCAGCACTCTTTTCTTCTTCTCTTTCTTTTTACCCCATATCAGACCTGCATAGGAGTCCAATGGCTTTCTCAGTCTTCCCTACATCCCTTGCTATTTTCCTCAGGGGTCTCTCCACTAATAAATCTCCTACTCATCTAATCCTCTTACTGTCTACTTCTTGAGGACCTGGAATAACTCGCTGATAACAATTTCCATTGTGTTTTCCTTTCTATTCCTCTTCCCTCTATGCTTTCATTATTGAAATGCCTCCAAATGTGTTATTGCTTAACCTGGCATGGGGACTCTTATTCCTTTCTCACCCTGCTTTCTCCTTTCTGCATGTCCCTCTTCTTCCTTATCCTTTAGGACCGGAGAGAACACTGACTTCTGAAAGTAGAATTGCTACCACTGTCTGGCCAATTAGTCAGACACTGTGGTCCCTACTGTCTTTGAGTTCAAGACATTCTTAATCATTTTATTTTAGTGACTATAAGAAAACCCTATATAACCTAGTGCGGTGCCCTCATTTTTTACAGGTGAGGAGGCTGACATCAGAGAGTTGGAGGGATCTCTGCAATTTAAGGGCACATTATATAACAGCACTCTGGTCTTTTTATCTTTTTACCTTAGCTTAACCACATGGATAAGGATTCAGGGCTGGGTACAGATTTTTAGGGCAACATAGATTATGCTTTTGTCTAAATATGTTTATAAAGTCTAAATATTCATGGTATTTAAAAGATAAAAGTGAATAAAATGAAAGCAATTTTAGCACTATTTCTGATAGTGGAAAACTATAAACTACACAAATCTCCAATAATTGACAAGTAGTCAAATACATCACAGGCTATGATAGTATTAGAAGCCATTAAAATGCACATTGTACAGGAATACTTACTGATATGGAAACATGCATATGCTATATTATTAAGAGGAAAAAAATAGATTTCAAACAATGTAGAGTGTAATTGAAATTATCTAAAAGGAAATACATTGATACAGTTCAAAATTCAAAGGGGTATACAGTAAAAAGTTTCCCTTTTACCCATTTCCACCCCAAAGGTATTCAATGTTATTAGTGTAGAATATATCACTGTAGAAATATTTATGTATAACCAAGCATGTGTATATATTCTTCACCTGCCTAATATAACATCTTTTGCATACTTAATTCTTTTCTGTTTTGACTATTGATTATGCTTTTTTGCCAATGTAAAAATGACTACTCATGTTATTTGATGGTTTGTATGTAAAGTTGTATTGTATGACTTTGCTGTGTTACCTAATCTAAGCCTCAGGCTCCTCATCTGTGAAGTGGAGATGATAGCACTGACTTCATAAGAGTTGTAGTAAGGATTTATTTTTTTTAAAGATTTTTTAAAGAGAGAGAGAAACATGGATATGATAGTCAAACATCCATTGGCTGCCTCCTGCACACCCCTTATCCCCCTACAGGGATCGAGCCAAAACCCAGGCATGTACCTTGACTGGGAATCGAACCAATAACCCTTCAGTGCACAGGAAGATGACGAACCAACTAAGCCATACTGGCCAGGACTGAAGTAAAGAGTTAAATGGCATATTATCTGCAAAGCACTTTGCACTCTTGCTGACTCATAGAAACTATTATGAACAGACACTCAAGAAAGCAAGTTTATTGACATTTTAACTTGCAACTTCAAAATTACCTTCAGCTATTAATACTTTTTTGTGTTCAACAGAAAAATGGGTGGAACAGCACCTCCAGACAGCAGTTGGAAAGGAAGTCTCAAAGTGCCCTACAATGTTGGACCTGGCTTTTCTGGAAACTTCTCTACACAGTTAAGAGCCTCCTTTTATTTTAACTCTCTTTAGGGGGAGGACACCTTTTTTTTTCCATTAAAAAATACGCAATTATAGAGGATGACTAAGAAAAGTAAAACCTATCTAGTATCAGCAGGAAACAAAATCACAGGTTGAAGAGACTACACTTACATCATTATAGTCGGACAGGTGGCCAATGTAATTTTTGCCTCTGTGCCTTTAGAAATCTTATAAACAATAATGTAAGATTTAAAAATTGTGGGTGGTAATCTGTCAACCAGTAATTTTTTAATGTGTTCTTTATATTTGCATTAGAAAAGTCAAGATGCACATCCATTCCAACAATAAAGTGACAAGAATTTACAATGTGATTGGAACTCTCAGAGGAGCAGTGGAACCAGGTAAGTTAATCAGCACATAGCAAATGAGCAACTTTTCTTCGCCAGGTACGTACTGCTCCAAGCTTTGGGTCTATCGGGTGAGCAAAGCAAAGCAACTCTTTGTCCCAATGGAACTCATATAAATACAACATACATAAATATGAGCTAATTTTGTACTGTGATATATGTTGTTAAAAAGAGAGAGAGAGAGAAGTGAATGGTGGGGCTAGGTTGATAAAGTGTGCACGCTTTGCTTAGAGGATCAAGGGAGGAAGCACAGGGAGAGATGGACTTTAGGTGTTTTTTGGATTTGTTTACCACATAGTTTTGCATGGGTAAATATCTTCATGATAACTATAAATATCTATATAAAAGATAGCACTAGAGCCCTGGCCCGTGTGGCTCAGTTGGTTTGATTTCTGGTCAGAGCACATTCCTGGGTTTCGGGTTGAATCCCCAGTAGAGGGCGTGGAGGAGGCAGCTGATGGATGTTTCACACTCACATTAATGTTTCTCTGTCTCTCCCTCTCCTTTCCTCCCTATGAATGAATTATAAAGTCTTTAAAAAGAGATAGCACTCAGAAAATTAAAGTAACTTTGAATTAATTATTTTTTTTACATTGAAGTTGATGAAATATATAGACACATGATTTCCCAAGGATTTCAGATGATCTGGGGATTAATATATCTTATAAAGAGTCTTACTTCATTATGTTCCAGTTCCTTAAAAATTATTGGGTTATATATTTTTTACCAAAAACAGATCTAATTAAATTGTATATCTTTCTTACAAGCAGCCAGTACTTTCCTTCAGTGATCAAGAATGTTGATATGCTCCAATGAAAACTAAACAATATATAACTGGCTATTTGTTGAATTTTACTGAGTATCTATTTTTTTTTTTTTTTTTTTTTTTTTGCCAGCTCTATGCTAAGCATTGGGGATGGTGGGATAAAAAAAAAAAAGACATCATCTGGGAACAAGGAGCTAATGGCTGGGAGGGGGGCCATACATTTAAGTGTGGTAAATGCTTTTTCAGATATGAAAAGATTGCCTGAGGGCTGGGTAGGGAAGCAATTCCCTCTTCCCATGGAAACTAGGAATGGTTCATAAAGGGGGAAAATCTTTGACCCGAATCTTAAAAATAAATAGGAGTAGGAAGTGGAGGACTTGGTATGTGGCCACTGTGTTCTCTTAATCTGGAAATAGTGCTAAGTAGGTAAGAGAGGAGTAATAGAGAATTATGTAAAGATGTGAATAGGATAATGTTATACTTAATTATCATTACATATATACTTGTAATTGCTATAATACTATACATTTGCTTATCACTCATATTTTCTTCATATATCAAAATCAGAAAAAAATACACTATATGTTTACACACGTGTTCAGGAACCTTGCTATCTTCCTCTGAGTCTTTCTTTAAAATTTAATTTATTGATGAGCCCTAACCGGTTTGGCTCAGTGGATGGAGCGTCGGCCTGTGGACTGAAAGGTCCCAGGTTCGATTCCGGCTAAGGGCATGTACCTTGGTTGTGGGCGCATCCTCAGTAGGGGGGGGGCGGGGGGCGGCTGATCGATGTTTCTCTCTCATCAATGTTTCCAACTCTCTATCTCTCTCCCTTCCTCTCTGTGAAAAATCAATAAAATATATTTTAATTTATTGATGAGAGAGAGAATGAGAGAGAGAGAGAAACATCAATTTGATGTTCTACTGATTTACACATTCATTGGTTTATTGTTGTATGTGCCCTGACTGGGGATCGAACCGGAAACCTTGGCATATCAGGATGATGCTTTAACCAACTGAGCTACCCTGCCAGCACTTCCTTTGAGTCTTGATGCTCTGTGATCAGATGCTCTGGAGTCACTTGCAGTGTGCTTTGTTACTGACTTGGAATGACAAGTAATTTTGCAATGTTGCCTTTTAGACAGATATGTCATTCTTGGAGGTCACCGTGACTCATGGGTGTTTGGTGGCATTGACCCTCAGAGTGGAGCAGCTGTTGTTCACGAAATTGTGAGGAGTTTTGGAATTCTGAAAAAAGAAGGTAATGTAAGTGAAGAGTAAAAATACCTACTTCTTTGAGTCTCAGTTTAGTTCTCTGTTGAGTGAGTGTAAAAATGTCACCTCATAGGTTTGTATGAAGGGTGAACTGACAGGATACATGCAGACTGTGTCATTGGAGTAGCATAGAGTACTTAGTAGTAGCACAGAATAGCTTTCAATGAACTGGGCTATATTACTTATGTTGGTTAGTTAGTTATATTGCTTATTCATGCTTGCATTTATATAGTAATATTTACTTTATTGATATTTATATATTAAACTGTAATCTGAAATAAAGGGATTACACCATAAGTGGTTGCTCTTAGCAACTAAGAAGATGGAGATGGTTTTCCTCACAGAAGAGTACACACCAGAATTAGGTCATAAGCCAAAGCTTCCTGGCCTGGGAACTGTGAGCAGAAGTTCCTGGGCTCTTCCAGCCTCACACCTCAGGTCAAGTGTACTAAGCAACTGAGGAGATCAAAGCTTTTCAGAAAAATACTGGTCTTCTCGACTAATGAGATACTGTCAAAAATTCAATATCTGCATATTCGTAAACCCCAAGCTTTAGATTGCTCTCCAGAATTTAGGTTTATATTCTTAGCACCATTACTTCAGTCATTTTAAATCTTCATATAAAATCCAAATAAAGTTTAGTTTAAATAGTTGCTTATTAAAATAATTATTATACAATGAAAGCAGAAAGTCCACTCTGTTTACTGACCCTGTGAACAAGGTGTCTTGGGGCTGTAAATGTGATCCCTATTTTTTTTTTTTTTTTTAGCAACAAGAAAACAACTGTAAAAAATATGTTAAATTTGAATATCAGAGAAATGGTGCTTTCACATATGTTGTCTATTTGGAACTCGTAGACGCCAGGGAGAAGTTAACCTACTTATTTCTATTCTCACTTTACAATGAAGATAACCAAGGTTTACAGAATCAGGGAACTCACTTAAGGTTCTATAGCTAGTGTGTGGCAAAGACAGAGAACCAGGGCTTAAACTCAAATTTCTGGCTACCAGTCCACAAAACCATGATGTCTCTCTTTAAAATAAAGTGTAAAGGTGCTTTTTTTTTTCCACACAGCTATGTTATATTTTTAGAAAAAAAATTATGGAGACCTGAATTTGCATAGTTTATGAATTCGATAGTGTTTAATATTATTACAAAAACTTTCATGATTTTTTAAGACTGCCTGTGTTAAGCACAAAACATCACTGGGATCATGCTAGAGCGTGCCAAAGAATGCAAAGATGAAGAATAATATTGAGTGAAATTTGAATGATGCTATTAAGAAACATGACAAAAATGAAACACTGAACTCAACTCATATAGGGATACGTCTTCTGAATAAGCACAAATGAAATAGTTACTAAAATAATGGAAGCTTACCTTTTTTGGATCACTTATTAAGTGCTATATTTATAAATACTAACCATTTAATCCTTCCAACAATCAAGTAGTATCTTTACCTTGTTGTTCCTGGCATACCGATGAAGAAACAGAGGCTTAGTAAGTTTGAATGGCTTTCCCTTGGTCATACTGCTAGTTAGTGAAAGAACCAGGGTTTAACATAAGATCTTTCTTTCACACCAGTGTTACTCCAAGCCAGTGGTAGGCAAACTCATTAGTCAACAGAGCCAAATATCAACAGTACAACAATTGAAATTTCTTTTGAGAGCCAAATTTTTTAAACTTAAACTATATAGGTAGGTACATTGTTATTAACTTAATTAGGGTACTCCTAAGGCTTAGGAAGAGCCACACTCAAGGGGCCAAAGAGCCTCATGTGGCTCGCGAGCCGCAGTTTGCCAACCACGGCGTCCAAGCCATACTATCTTCCTGTTGAATTTTATGTAGGTTTCAGTAGCCACAGACATTGGCATTGTTACCTGAGCTTCTGTTGAGGAATCCTGGCACAGTTGAGTGAAATCATACAACCAGCTGACACTGAACAATCACATGATGCCAGAACAACAAACAGGAAGAGCTGTCAAGGATTTTCTCTGTTGTATCTGCTCGCTAAACACAGACCACATCGAGCACTCTCTTCTTCCGCTCTAGGCAGCTGCCGGTCACAGATGGTTTCCTATGCTCGGCCAATGTTTGTAAACCTGAACAATCCATGGTTTTGTGTGTTGTTGTTCCTGTTGGGCTTGGCAATGTCTTGGATAAAGTTTGCATTTTTTCAGCACCTATATGTATATACATACTATTTTAGGCTGGAGGCCTAGAAGAACAATTTTGTTTGCAAGCTGGGATGCAGAAGAATTTGGTCTTCTTGGTTCTACCGAGTGGGCAGAGGTTAGTTGATCGTTTGCTACAACATATATTTTCATAATGAGTCAACAGTTTGAACCTAATTCTCAAGGATGTGAACGTAACACGTGAATCCAGTGAAGCAATATATCTGTGTTCAAAAATCAACAATAACGATGTCTGTGTCACCAAAGAACTAAGTTCCATTTGAACATTTCAGAGCCAGTTAATGTCTGTTGTCAAAATAACTTTATTTTCTGGGAGTGTGATAGGAACTAAGTAAATTCACTAGAAACCCAACAGCAAAATCAGATACCATGTTTCTATTACCTTTTCGAAATTAGCTCCTAGAGCTAAGCACGTTGAAATAACCCCTGAGCTTGTGTAGTAAGGTATATCTTTCACAGCTACCTTCTTTATATCATAATGACGTACTCTGAATTAAATCATGCTTAATTATCTTCTCTATATCATAATGACCTACTCTGAACTAAATCATGCTAAGAGTGAGGCATAAAGTCCCACCACATAATATTTATGAGGCCCCTTGGAAAGTAATTTTTACCTGCATGTATTGTTGGCTTTGTGTAATAGGCATTAGCTATAAATACATGCAAAGTTGACACTGATTCCATTCACTTCAAGTCATGCAATCAATATTTATTGGGCTCCTATTATACTTCATAAATTATGGGAAGCCCTGTAACCTTCAATTTTCTTTTGGGGAAAAATAAAAGTAGTATTTCTGTAGACAAAGTTTATGTTGGCATCAGGAAGAGCCTAACTATGTTAAGATTGTCATTTGTCTCTTTCAAACTGTTTTCACCATGTAGAGTTGCATTGTTTTTCTGTTTTCTTTCTTATATTCAAGATGCTTAGGAAATTGCATATTTAAGAGATTCAGAATCCATTTGATACCTTAAAAGAAACTGCGACACTTCCTTTTGTTTTAAAACTGCAATGGTCAATGTTGACCAGTAGGTGGTGGCATCCTACAGGAGAACTTCATATTTCAGGGTAGAGGACATTGATGTTCACAAATTTTTAACGGGTATATTTGAAATAACTCATTCCCTGTGGGTCAGGCAAGATTCTGTACTTAAATAATGAGACATTCATGAGAAGACTCCCACTGAAATGATCTCTTAGGTCGTTCATATTTACTAAGAATTTCTTGAGGGATAAACTATATTATGGTTAAGAAATCAACTTCCTTTCCTTTTTCCAGATTAAGAACGTGGACAATCTTAGCTTACATTTTAGCCTTAAAAATGTTTTACTTGTTATTCTTACCAATATTTTTTATTGAAATTCCTTCAAACGAATAATTTTGATAATCTTATATGTCAAATTTGTGGATAATTTGGGCCAGTTCAAGTCAGAAACCTGCACACATTTAATGGAGGTGTGCATTTTTTAAGGGGGAAGGTATGGCTGTATGTTTATGCTTTTCTTTCTTTCATATTATAGGAGAATTCCAGACTCCTTCAGGAGCGTGGTGTGGCCTATATTAATGCAGATTCTTCTATAGAAGGTGAATATCATTGGTCTCCTAGGAAAAGATGGGATCACAGAAGGAGGAGCAGTTTAGTTCATACACTAATAAGAAGGCAAATTGATTGGCATGTGGTTAGGGCATCTGCTGTTGCTTTGTCAGGCTCCTGCCCCTGACTCAGCAGCTTTGAGCCCCAGAGAGCTAATTTGGAAAAGCTGCTCTCTGCTTCATCAGGCATATTACCTTGTATAGAGTAGGACTTCAGTAAATACCTGTTCAATGAATAAGTATATCATGGAACTAAAGATTTCAATGGTTTTAGAATGAGGTAGCACAAAAGGTATGATTTTGTTCTTGTTCTCAGACTAATGGATGTTTATTTATTTAAAAAATGTTTTTTAATTACAGTTGATATTCACTGCTAGTTTGAACATTCTGTGATTAGACTTTTATATAACTTACCAAGTGGCCCCCTAATAAGTCTAGTGCCCATCTGGCACCATATATAGTTAGTACAGTGTTATTGACTATATTCCCTGTGCTATACTTTGCATTCCCATGACTATTATGTAACTGCCAATTTGTATCCTTCACCTTTTTCACTCCGCCCTCAACCCCTTTTGATGAAGGCATGTTGGCCTTTACTTTTTCTTCTTTGTTCACATATGTGAGCTACGTTGTCTCCTAACTTAGTTTACACAGTGCATTTCAGTTATTCTTTCCTCCTCGTCTTAGGTTCATGGCTAAGGGCCTGGCCTTCTTCCTGTCATCATCACTTCCTAGTTGTGTGACCTCAGATTGTTACTTTCTGTGTCTCAGTTTTCTCACCTGTATATGGAGTTACTAAAAGCACATACCTTACAGGCTCTTGTGAGGGCAAAAGTGGTTTGTATTTGCAAAACTCCCAGACCTTTGTCCTGCACAGAGCGAATCTTCAAAAATGTTAGCTTGTATTATTATTACCCTTACTTAAAAACACGCAGTAAAATGAGACACTTGGCCACACTGAATAAATACTCCATAACTCCATATATTTTTCCAAAGTAGCATACCCTTCTCTTTATTGCTAGTCTTTTTTAAGATTTGATTTTTAGTATGATTTTTAAATTTTATTTTTTTATCATCCTGTCCTTTTTAATGCAGATTTTTAAATCATTGTATTTTACTGATTATGTCATTCTCTGTTGTAAAATGCTACATTGGCCCGGCTGGTGTTGCTCAGTGGTTGAACATCCACCTATGAACCAGGAAGTCACAGTTTGATTCCCAGTCAGGGCCATGCCTGGGTTTTTAAGATTTGATTTTTAGTATGATTTTTAAATTTTATTTTTTTATCATCCTGTCCTTTTTAATGCAGATTTTTAAATCATTGTATTTTACTGATTATGTCATTCTCTGTTGTAAAATGCTACATTGGCCCGGCTGGTGTTGCTCAGTGGTTGAACATCCACCTATGAACCAGGAAGTCACAGTTTGATTCCCAGTCAGGGCACATGCCTGGGGTGTGGGCTTGATCCCCAGTGGGGGCATGCAGGAGGCAGCTAATCAATGATGTTCCTCTCTCATCAATGTTTCTCTCTCTCTCTCTCTCCCTTCCTCTCTCTCTCTAAGGAAAAAAAAATCAATAAAACAACATAGTTTAAAAATAATAATAATAAAATAAAATGCTGCATTGCCTCCCCATCATGTTCAAGATCAAGAACAAATGACACAAACGTATATAGAATTTAGCTCCCACAAATCCACAGTGTAGTTTTCTTAAGTGCATTATATGTAAAAGTTTTATACTCATAATAACCCTGTGAGGTAAATATTGTTATCCATCTTGTACAGAAGAGGGAACTGAGATTCAGAGGGATTAAGTAACTTTCCCAAGATCACCCAGATTGTAAAGGGTGGGGCTGAGACTCAAGGCAAACTGGTCTGTTTCAACTTTATCTTTCTAACCACTACATTCTTTCTACCTTATACGGGTTTTTGTTATCACAGCTAAATGTTTCTGCCTCTTGCCTTTTTTGTTCAAAGAAAACCACTCAGAAAACATGAAATTAGGCCAGAGGTCTAAGTGAAGTGGGAGAGTAAGTCATGCAGCTCTCATGCCGAACACTGTTCCAGGCTGAGGGAACAGTGTGTACAAAGGTTCTGAGAAGGAGTCTGTGTGGGCAGAGTGGGAGGTGAAGGTTTGGGCAGGTGACCTGAGGTGGCTTCATCTTTGGCACTGAGGATGATGAGTTTTGATTGGACTCAGGTTTTAAAAGGATCATTTGACTAAGGAATTAAGAGTGGTCTTTGAATGAAATTTAAAAAAATGAAATAAAAAATAATCAAACTTCTGGTCTTTCAGGAAACTACACTCTGAGAGTCGATTGTACTCCACTGATGTACAGCTTGGTATACAACCTAACAAAGGAGGTACAAATAATTACATATAATTTGAGAAAATCTGAGTTCTGCAAATGCTATTGTCTTGAGATACCATTATTATGTTAAGCACCTGTGTTGTTTTATAACTTGTTTATTTTCCTCATTTAGCAAATATCCACTCCATAGGACATCACATCTAATAAAATGTTTACATACATTATCCCCTTTCTCCCCTTATCACCCTGAAGAAACGGGTCTACACTCCCACTTGAAAACGAGAAAACTGGGGCTTAAAAAGCATTAGCCATTGAAGTTACAGAACTTGTCTAGTAGCTGAACCGAGACTTGGTTCTGGGGTTTAATTCCTTAATTTTAAAACTGGTTTATACTCCTTAACATAATGAATGATATCAAGTAACTCCGGATGCCGGAAGACAAAGTTTCTGATTGAGAAAGGACATAATTAAATACACACCAAGTGCTGGCGGCCAGGGACAAAGCAATCTGGGGAAGAGGCTAGGTAAGAACATGTACCTGTTTCCTGACTTCCTGACCTGGGCTCCATTCCACGGAGTCCTACTGGGTTGGGCTGACAGCTCAAGTTTTCTTATGCTGACAGCAGCTCCAGGTACTGAACTTGGTGGACAGGTGATGCCTGAATCCATAAAGGACAGGCAACTCTTCACTTGAGTTCTCCTGCCTCATAAAACCATTATTCCTGAAGTTAGTCAAAATGAATGAGTTTTTGGAGTGGCAGATTTTTCTTGTTACTGCTAATTTGCATTGGGAAGGGGGAAAAAAAAAAGACTTGTCCATTTAATAAAATTACTAATTGAAATGTAATTACCAAGAAAAGCTTAATGCCCTAGCCAGTTTGACTAAGTTGATAGAGCATCTGTTGACCCATGGACTGAAGGGTCTCAGGTTTGATTCTGGTCAAGGGCATGTACGTCAGGGTGTGTGAGGAAGGTAACCAATCGATGTGTCTCTCTCACATAGATGTTTCTCTCTCTCTCTCTCTCTCTCTCTCTCTCTCAAATCAATGGAAAATATCCATGGGTGAGGATTAACAACAACAAAAAACAACAACAAAAAAAGAAAAAATACAATATTTCCCCTCAGGTAGTGATTTTAAGTAAGACAAATATCACTAAACTTTGGTTTCAAAAGCATGGAATTTAATCTTATAAATTAGCATTTCCTATAGGACTAGAAAAAATTAATTTGAAAAATATATTTTATGTTGTTACTTAAAAGCTCCATCATTTACCTGCAGTTTTATCAATTCTCATAAAGTGCATAAAATTTTAAATATCTGAAACAGTGTATTTCAGTGAGTTCCCACTGTTCATGTAACTTAAAGTAAATGCTAACGACACTTGGCAGCTGTATTTGTTTACTAGACAGGTGGCCCTCTGGGACAATTGCATTAACACTACTTTCTAGGTCAACTTTGAAATGATGTGATGATTGACAATTTTGGGTTTTGTTTGATTCTGTTTTGTTTGTTTTGGGAAAGTAAATTGCAACATTTCAACTTTTAGTAATAAACAGAGAATTTAGTCTTATGTTTTTACACTGTTCCAAATTTGCATTTCTTAGAATAAATGGAGTGATACTGTCCATTATACCAAAGTGTTGTAAATTTATCAGCTTCAGGAAAATTTTGTTGCTGTATTTATTGATAGTCTACAAGTTAAGATGTAGCATAACTTCTCTCTCCTCACACTTATGCGAATTTGTGTCCCCATAGACCTTCGTATGTACCTCTGTTACAGCACTAAACACATTGAATTCAATATTCTTACTTACATTTCCCATTAGTGGAGAGTTTAAAAAGTGTCTTATTGAACTTGGTATTCCTGGCCTTCACAACAAGTCTTAAACAGCATAGGTACTCTATAGGCTTTTAAAAATTATATTTGTTGAAAAATAAAACATAAGAATTTTATTAAATATAAAATAAAAAATTTGATACCATGTATTGTTCAATAACCTATGAGTAACTAGGGAACATTAATTAAAGTTTATTTGCTAAGTGGTTTTGCCATCACATTTCATGTTCTGAGTCTAGAATTCAACAATAGGTCATATTTTACTCCGTATTCTCATCTGTGAAACCAGAAAATGTATTTAAAGCCCAGTATTAATGCAATTACAATATATAATCAATTAATTAAATAAAATATTAATGCACTTATTTTGTTATGCATTACTTAATGACTTTAGCAACTGTGTTGGAAAAGAAGCAATATTAAAAGAAACACCTTCCCGTAACTAGCTTACTTCTTTTCCATTTTTTTAAATAAGAGGAGAAATAATGTTTTTGAGAGTAGCCCCCCTTAATTCAGAAAAAGAGGTAAATATTTTTTGCATAATATAACCATTCCTTTGAATACAGTGGCTTGGTATACTATGTGTAGCCTCTTTTCCATACATTCCATGTATAGTAGTTGCACTTGTATATTTCAAGTAATGAGCAATTTTCCCATATTGTCAGAAACTCATTATTGTAAATCTTAATGACTGCTAAGGTACAAATTGCCTCCCTTGTTTTTGTTTGTTTGTTTGTTTAATCCTCACCAGAGGATATGTTCATTGATTTTAGAAAAAGAAAAGAAGAGAGAGGGCGGGGGGCGGGGCGGGGAGAGACACCTTGATGTAAGAGAGAAACATGGATTGGTTGCCCCTGTTCGCATCCTGACTGGGGATTGAACCTGCAACCTAGGTATGTGCCCTGACCATGAATCAAACTCCCAAAACCTTTTTGGTGTTGGGGTGACACTCCAACCAACTGAGCAATCTGGCCAGGGTACTCTCTTGTTTTGCTGAGTATAGTTTAGCTACTCATTTCCTGGTTAATGGACATTCAGATTTTAAAACATCTGATTCATAGGTATTCTCTCTCTCTCTCTCTCTCTCTCTCTCTCTCTCTCTCTCTCTCCTCTCTTTCTCTCTCTCTCTCTTTCTAACTTGTGCAGCTCCAAAGTCCTGATGAAGGCTTTGAAGGCAGATCTCTCTATGAGAGCTGGAATAAAAAAAGCCCTTCACCAGAGCTCATTGGCATGCCCAGGTAACCCATCAAACAAGCAAAGAGACAAAACTCTCTACCGAATTTAGTATGGGATTGTGTTGGAAATAAAACAGTATTTTTTTCAATCATTAATAAAAAATTTATTTGTTTTAAAAATTCTCTAACATTTGATAAGGAAAAGTGATGTTGAGGTTCTCAAATAAAATATTACTATGTATGGGTTTGAAGATAAATCTGTAGGTCATCAAGAGATGCTTTCCTTTTGAATAGATAGTATATATGCATGGTAAATAGAAGAATTTAATGGTGGAGAGTAAGTCCCCTCATATTTTCCCTAGTGACTCTATAAATTATCTTATTTTCTGAACACCATACAATTAACAAATATTTTAGTTACTCTAAGAAAAATATAGACACTATTGCAGTTCTGGTTGTGTAAATCAAAATCAATTTAAACTGTAATAGGATATACAAAGCATTTATTTATTTGAGTAAAAAGGACCCGCGGTCCTAAGGATATTAAGGTTAGAGATTTTAGGGGAGGTCCCAGGGGGAAGATCTCAATAGGATATTCAGCAGCTTTCCAGGTGTGCCCTTTCAGGGTCAGGGTCTGATTGATTGGTCGAAGCCCGGACTGGGGGTCATTATTCAATACAGCTGGCCCAGAGGTCAGCTGTGGCATCCCTTGTCTGGCGTTGCTGTCTTTCTGGGCCTGGAGCTGAAATACAACTGAGACCTAGATGTTATCTCTAGGGAAGAAAGCTCAGGAGGCTCCAACTGCAAGACCAGCCTTATGCTAAGGGAGGATAGGTCACCCTGGGAATGAGATCCCATCCTACGATTGTCCGTTGCTGGGCATCTGGGCTTTTCTGCCCTGGTGACCTTCTGTACCCAGCCCATTGACCTTGCTCTGCTCATGTCTGTCTAACTTCCTACTACAGAACCTAATGCTATCTCCCGATATATAGTGTCAGTATTGAGATGACTGATAGGAAACCCTATTGGTTTCTTGAAAACTTGTTTGTTGTTGATGTGGGGATAATCCCCTTCCTCCTGTCCCACTCATTGGAATTGGATCCAGGAACCCAAAAGAACAATGGTCACCCTAACAAAATATTCTTGGAGTAGATATTTTGTGATCAAAACTAATATTTCTCTTAAAAATTTTTTCTATGTGTCTAAGGTGATACATTTAAAAATTATATTTAACTTTTACTATAAAAATGATGTTTAATTAATCTTTAATCTGTACTTGATGAAGAAATCTCAAATAATCCTGAATTTTATCCCTACAAGGATTAGCAAGTTGGGATCTGGAAATGATTTTGAGGTGTTCTTCCAAAGACTTGGAATTGCTTCAGGCAGAGCACGGTATACTAAAAATTTGGTAAGTCTATCCATAAGTAATTCAGGATTATTTAGAATATATTTTAGCTAAACAAATCATTCTGAATCAAGAAAAGTTACTGAAGCACTAGAGAAGTGGTTCTCAACCTTCCTAATGCCGCGACCCTTTAATAGAGTTCCTCATGTTGTAGTGACCCCCAACCATAAAATTATTTTCGTTGCTACTTCATAACTGTAATTTTGCTACTGTTATGAATCATGATGTAAATATCTGATATGCAGGATGTATTTTCATTGTTACAAATTGAACATAATTAAAGCATAGTAATTAATCACAAAAACAATATGTAATTATATATATGTTTTCTGATGGTCTTAGGCGACCCCTGTGAAAGGGTCGTTCGACCCCCAAAGGGGTCGCTACCCACAGGTTGAGAACCACTGCACTAGAGGAATAGAGGAATTTGAAACAGAATGGAAAAGTCTTAATGGTCAAGATGTTATTACTCCTGGGACAGTTCCTGTATCTGCTATCCTGAGCATTATAATTTGAACTTCCATATACTCCCTTAAATATATTTTCCATTTCATTAGTGGTATTGCATTCACCCAGTTATTTAAACTAGAAATGTAGGAATTGTTTTTGATTCCTCTCAACCCATCGTCATTCAAAACCACTCTTATATCAAGACCGGCAAATATTTGAATTTTTATTTGATTATATCTCCAATCATTAAATGTGAAAGTTATAATAACAAATGGCATAATACAAGTCATAGTTATTTTTATTGTTGTTGCTGATAATGATAGTGACCATTTTATAGTTTTTACTTTTCTGAAAGTAACATAGGTATATAGTTCATAAAATGTCACATAGTACTTAAAGAATTGATAATGAAAAGCAGTGGTTCCCCTATCTCACTTACATGCTTGTCTTTCAACTAATCAGTATATACTAGAGGCCCAGTGCATGAAATTCGTTGGGGGGGGGGACAGGGGTCCCTCAGCCTGTTCTGCGCCCTCTTGCAACCTGGGACCCCTCGGGGGATGTACGACTGATGGTTTAGGCCCGATCCCACAAGGCCAGCAGTCGGACATCCCTCTCGCAATCTGGGACCGCTGGCACCTAACCACTCGCCTGCCTGCCTGGTCGCCCCTAACTGCTCACCTGCCTGCCTGATCACTCCTAACTGCCTCTGCCTTGGCCCCTGCTGCCACAGCTTCATCCAAAATGATATCCAGAAAGTCTTTGGCTGTTCAGTCTAATTAGCATATTACTTTTTTATTATGATAGATAGATATATACTAGAGGCCTGGTGCATGAATTCATGCACGGGTGGGGTCCCTCGGGGTGGTCTGTGGACATCGAGCCCCTGCTCACGCCCCGAGCCTCACAGCCCCACAGCCCCGCCTGGCACCCTACCTTGGCCTGGCACCACCCCCTCACCTGCTCCACTATCCTGCCTGTGGAGCAATCAATCAGGGCCAGGCCCCCCCGCCTGGCTCCCTCAGTGCCTGGGAGCCAGGTGACAGCACCACCCCCCAATGCCACGGGACAATTGGCAGGGCAATCAGGCCCCCACTTGCACCCACCTTGGCCTGGCACTGCTTGCTCACACGCTCCACCATCCCACTGCAGTTCTGCTCTTGTTGGCGCACATCAGGGCTGGCAGCACCTCCACTGTTGCCCACTGCCAGAGCCACATCTCCGACACCCACCATGTTCTGCACCGCCCCCTGGTGGTCAGAGCATGTCATAGCGAGCGGTTGAATTCCTGGTCTCCTGGTTGAACGACTGCCCGAGGGGATAATTTGCATATTAGGCTTTTATTATATAGGATATATATATTTTTTATTGGTTTCAGAGATGAAGGGAGAGGGAGATAGAAATATCAATGATGAGAGAGAATCATTGATTGGTTGCCACCTGCACACCACCCACTGAGGATTGAGCCCGCTACCAGGGCACGTGCCCTTGACCAGAATCAAACATGGGACCCCTCAGTCCACAGGCCAATGCTCTATCCACTGAGCCAAGCCAGCTAGGGCCAACTAATCAGTTTTATGCATTATCCATTTACATCTTACTAGGGATGATAGGCATTCAGTTTTCTCAAATGGCCTCTACTCTCAACCCGAAAATACTTAATCCTGAACATATTTTCTCGGTATATAGTGACACTATATTTGTGGATTAGAAGACTTTTATTGTTTTCTTCCATGTACCCATAACTAATTTATCACAAACTTTTCAAATATTCAAACACATCAAGTGATGTGGCAGATTTCATTATCCCCCAACATTTGTTCTCTGGTTCCTCTGGGTTCTCTGGTTGTTCTCTCTGCCTGGGACACAGCTCCTACCTGTGAAATTTTCTTTCAAAGAGAAATCTGAGGGTACCTTCATTTATCTCCTCTATTGCATCTTCTGTTCTCCGGATTTTGTTTCCTCCTCTTTCTTGTATACTCTCAACTTGTTTTGGAGCACATCCTTAAGGCACTGTGAAAGCTAAAGACCATGTTATTTATGCCGCACACAATTTATGCCACACACAATTCTTCCATGGTTTAACTGGCCATCAACTTTTGGTTGAAGATTCTGTACCCTCAGAAATTTGAATTCATGGCTTCATTGTTTTCCAGCCTTCAGGATTGCTATTGAGATTTTGGGCCATTTGATCCCAGTTCGTTTGTCTCTGATATTTTTTAAAAGAAGATTTTCAGTATCTTCTCTTTTTTTCTTAGTGAGTGGGAGGGAGTGAGGTGAGGAGAGAGAGAGAAGCATTGATGTGAGAGAGACACTGTAATTTTAAATTTATACTGAATAGCTCTCATAAACGTGTGCATTCACCATTCAGCATGAGCAAACAAATGCACAAGGCTGGGGGGTGGCTTAGTGCACAGGAAAAATCGGCCAGCAAGTTTAAAACTGCTGTAGAAATCAGTTCAGTGACAACTGAACCAATTAATGTGTAGGATGCGGTGTGATCATGTAATAATCATTCCTCAAACATTATTTATGAGTGGTGACACTTGGATTTAAATAGGTAGACTATAGTTGTAGATATGTAATATTTCTTTACATCAGCGAAATTATTATAGGGCTGTTTTTTTAAAAATGTATGGCCCATTTTCTAAAATGTGTTAAAATAACACCATCTTAATAACAAAAAATTAACCTGTTAATTTAATTATAAGCAAATCTAGGTTAAAAGTGTTTTAAAATGAACAGGATGTTAATTTTCACATATCACATAGGGACAGGAAATTTTGTCCATTAAATCCAAAGTCTGTTAAATCAAAGTCCATAAAATTGAGGGTTTACTGTAGTAAAAACTTGGGACAGGTTTTCATATTATATTAATCTGTTAATAAGTGGCTTATTGAAGTACTTAAATACTTTGCTGTATTTATTACTGACCAAAATAGCCTAGTTAATATTAATAGTAAATATGTATTTTATGATAAACTATCTTACAAGAGATATATTTTGTTCTTTGCTTTTTTTTTTGTAGGCAATAAACAAATTCAGCAGCTATCCACTGTATCACAGTGTTTATGAAACCTATGAATTGGTGGAAAAGTTTTATGATCCAACTTTTAAGTATCACCATGCTGTGGCCCAGGTTCGAGGAGGGATGGTATTTGAACTATCCAATTCCATTGTGCTCCCTTTCGACTGTCGAGATTATGCCATAGTTTTAAGAAAGTATGCTGACAAAATCTACAACATTTCAATGAAACATCCGCAAGAAATGAAAACATACAGTGTGTCCTTTGGTATGCTACACATTTTCAGACTTCATTTTCTGTATGTTTCTGTGAATCTCTAAAATATGATGATGTACCTGAGGTCCATTTTTCATTTATTGTTGTTCTATATGATCAAATATTTTCTTTACATCTATAAGTGCATTTTTCCCACTTGTGCTTATCTGGAAATATATACAATGTTAATACCTTGTAAAATACAAAGAACAGCTTACACTATTTTTCTCTTTGCTTCAGCTCTAGAGCAATACTATTAGGTCCTAATTTCTCTTTCAGATCCACTCTTTTCTGCAGTGAAGAACTTTACAGAAATTGCTTCTAAGTTCAGCGAGAGACTGCAAGACTTGGATAAAAACAAGTATGTTCCACATATACAAGTTTGGTGTTGAAATATCTTTGCAATTTTTTGCTGCTTCTGTCCCTTCACTCAAAGCATGGAGGCTGCCATATCTCTCAAAGAAAGACCCACTTCTGACATCCTGAGTGGCAATGGTGCTGCTGAGAAATGCTGGTGCCTCCTTCACTGCCAACTCATTAGTGCAACATCCCCAGCTGACCATTGAAGGGCCTCCACTGTGTGACCAAAGCCTTCTCCAGCTTTCTCTCTTGTGCTTTCAGTTTCTCTCTATCATACCTCATCCTGAACACACTTTCTTTCTCCTTCTCCTTAAAGTCATTATCTCTGCAAAGAGTTATTTTCTTCCACTTCCACCTGGGAAAATTCTATTTATCTGGAATAACAAATATTGTAAAGCCATTATTTTAGGATTAATTCTGTATAAAGTCACAAAAATAAAATGTAATTTGAACATATTTTTAAGATGGGAAATAAATAATATGAAAGCATTAAGGAATTTTTTAATGGTAGGAATTTGAAGGTGAATATATCTTTATATTAAACATATTACAATGAAACACATATCAAACCCTTGGGGATTGGTGCAAGAATACATTGAAAGAACCATGGCCAGTGTGTTCAGTGGATTAAGCATAGTCCCATGCACCAAAAGGTTGTTGGCTTGATTCCCAGTCAGGGCACATGCCTAGGTTTAGTGCTCCATCTCCAGTAGCAGGAGGCAGCTGATTGATGTTTCCCTCTTTCTCTCCCTTTTTCTTCTTTTCTCTCTGAAATACAATAAAAAATCTTAAAAATCTATACATAGAAAGATCAGAGTAGACGGTCCAAAAATAACGTAGTGATATATAAGGATGTGTTTGTGTTTGTAATGAAAGATACATAAAAGGTCAATGGGAAAAGAAAGACGTATTAAAAATAATGTCGTATAAGCTTTTTTAGGCACTGATAAAAAAGTGAATTCAGCCCTCTCTGGTTTGGCTCAGTGGATAGAGAGTTGGCCTGTGGACTGAAGGATCCGGGGTTTGATTCTGGTCAAGGGCACATGCCCAGGTTGCAGGCTCGATCTCCAGCAGGGGGTGTGCAAGAGGCAGCCAATCAATTGATTCTCATCATTTGTTTCAATCTCTCTCTCCTCCCTTTCTCTAAAATCAATAAATATATATATATATATATTTTTTAAAGTGAATTCAAAGACTTCACATTGTATGCAAACATAAGCAACAGGTGTGGAGGAACTCTGTACTAAAATTAAAAATTTTGGAAGTGAAATTTCAAGTTTAGAAGCCACAGGGAAATGCCAATACAACCAGATTTGAGAACAAAGCAGTGGTTAATTATATAAAATTTAATTATCAAATACAAAGGTAAAAGGGTGGGAAACCTCTTCGAAGTCCCCGAGGGACAGGCCATCTCCTCACTATTGCCAGAGGATGGCAGCGGGGGAGCTCATATTGTCCTCACTAAGATCCCTCATGTCCCCCCAAAAAGCTTGGGAAACCTTTTTCGGCAGATTTGAAAAGGGGGTAATATAAACATAAAAAAATTTTTTTGAAAACTGATAAGAAAATCCAAAATATCAAAATTGGAAATATTGACAATGGACAATATAAACAAATCTAAAAGAGGGTACCACCTGTATAGAAACAGATATAAAAATATTCAAATTTATTAATAATTCAAAAACACAAATGAAAATAATGTTATACTATGTGCATATCAAATTAGTAACTATTTTAAACGTGGTTGTACCGATTGCTATAGGCTATTCACTGAAGCATTGTAAATTGTTTTAACCTTCTGAAAAATATACATATTGCTGAAGTTCTTAAGAACCATCACATAGTTGTTACACTTTGCTGTAGTATTTCTGTTTCTTGAATCTTTTTCTTAAGGAGTTTCAAGTTTGAAAAAAAAAAAAGGCTTCTCAAAGAAAAATATGGATTATAATCCTGAATAATTAATTTTAATACTTCAGAGGAAAGAAATTACTTGAACTAGATACCCACCAATTTAAACATTTTGTAAACATTAAAATTGATAATTAAAAAAGAAATATAAGATATTTATAATAAAATGTGAAGTAAACAAAAAGTATATAAAATTGTAAACTAGTTGATTACATTTTTTTAACTTTTTTTGTTGCTGTTGTTATTCCTCACCTAAGGATATTTTTTTCCCATGGATTTTTTTTTTTTTTCATACAGAGTGGAAGGGAGGGGGAGAGGCAGAGAGAGGGGAGAAACATCATGTGAGAGAGACACTTCTATTGGTCAGGAGCTTCTTGACAGGAATTGAACCTGTGACTCTTCAGTCTTCAGGCTGAAGGTCTAACCACTGAGAAAAACTGGCCAGAGCTAGTTGATTACATTTTTATTGAACAAACAGAACAAGTCAACCAATTTGTGTAATAATTGTGTTACCCTGGACTATTATGGAGATTTTATTCATTATACTTTGTAATATTTTCCAAATATTTATGTGCCAAAAAAAATCAACAATGAAAAATAAATTTTAAAGAGATCCAAACACCATATATTCTATGAGCTGATTTTCTAGTCTTAAAATAATGATATTTTCTTCCTCTGGCAAACCACCTGTGGCTCGGATTATGGCTTTCAAGGACACTTGGCTTTCACTTCCTTGAGTATTTCTATTTGTTTTATTTGCTCTAAATGATACTTTAGGTACAGTTTGTGTCTCTATGTTATATTTATAAAGTCTGAACAGTGACAGCAGTGCAGTGCAGGTCATAATAGCAAATGCTGGCTAAAATAAATTAAACTGGGTGTTGAATTTTTCAACTAAAACTAAAATCTGAGGAGACACTCCTTTAATCCTGCTTTTCTTGAATCAATTTCTTGACCCATCAAAGGATACAGTGTACTTGGTACCTTCATGCTCACATAGTACTCAGCCTGAAGACCTGTCATTCTCCCGTCTCCTTGGGAGGCCAGCTGCTTCAGGAGTGAAAGGTCCCGTTCACAGAACTCTGCTGTTCCAACCAGTACCTCCAGGGTTACTTCACATTGACTCTCTCTGTAAAAGAAATATTTGATGGTTTTCAGTGGTAACCACAAGATCAGAGAGAGAGAGAGAAAGAGAGAGAGAGAGAGAGAGAGAGAGAGAGGTTTGTGTGTATTGAAATTACATCTATGAGTAGATTAATAAGATAACAAGATGAAAAAAGTCTTGCCTATGCCCTAGCCAGTTTGGCTCAGTGAATAGAACATCGGCCCATGGACTGAAGGATCCTGGGTTCAATTTCGGTCAAGGGCCCATATCTCTGTTGCAGGCTGGATCCCCAGCCTTGGTTGGGATGCATGTGTCTCTCTCACATTGATGTTTCGTTTTCTCTGTCTCTCCCCCTCCACTCTCTCTATTAAATCAATGGGGAAATATCCCCAGTTGAGAATTAACAACAACAACAACAAGAAGTCTGCCTGTGTTTGAATACCCGGGTTAATCAATTAATTATTTCAACATAATTAAAAGTTACTGTCATTTTTTCCATTGGCACGCATAACTGTTTCTGTGGTTTTATAAGCCTCACCAAAATAGTATTTTATAAACTTTTAAAAATGTAACTACATTATTGTTCTTAATGGGAAAGTATAGGAATTTAAAATATATTAGCATTTTCAGTTTTGTTCTAAATTTTTTGTTTGCTAGGTAGTGCACTCATTTTCATGATGTTATAACTGTATTCATTTCCTTTTTAGCCTAATGTTATTGAGAATTATGAATGATCAACTGATGTTTCTGGAACGAGCATTTATTGATCCTTTAGGGCTACCAGACAGGCCATTCTATAGGTAAGGGGGGGAAAAATGACACATTAAAATTCCATTTCTATTTTTTGCACTGTAAAAAAATTATCATAATTGATTTTTTGCAAGCAAATAGAAAAGGTTAAAATACTATATGCAGCATATGATGACTATACTTTCCTTCTTCATATGATATAATATGATCAGTATGTATGTTTCTTTTTAGTGTCTTGTTTCTGATTATACTAGTAAAAGAATATATGTTCATTATAAGAAACTTAGGAGACCCAGAAAGTCTCAAGGAGAAAATAAAAAATCTCTCCTTTTCCATCAGTCAGACATAAAATTGTGTTTATATCTTGATGTGTATAATTTTAGCCCTTCTCTCATTTTAAATATATTTGTGTTTATGTATATACATAAGACATAATGAATATATACAGGGTTGGGCAAAAGCAATTTTATAGTTGTAATGCAAATAAATAATACAATCATAAATAATAATATAATAATAAACTGTGTTTCATGTACTCACAACTGTAAAGATACTTATGCTCATCCCTGTATTTATAATTAAATATATACAATATATAATAATAATTTACTCTTATTGTATAAACAAGAGTAAATTTACTCTTATTGTATAAATATATACAATATATAACAATATTATTGTTATAAAAAACAATAATTGTTATAAAAACAACAATTATTGTATTAAAACAATAATTTACTCTTATTGTATAAATATATACAATATATAACAATATTATTGTTATAAAAAACAATAATTGTTATAAAAACAACAATTATTGTATTAAAACAATAATTTACTCTTATTGTATAAATATATACAATATATAACAATAATTTACTCAAATATTTACTCTAATATTGATATCATGTTTTGTTTGTTTTTTCTTTCTAATTTTGAGAGATGTAATTATTTCTGTCTCCAGGTTGGTCTTACTAAGTATTGCAGAATGAATTATTATTGACAATTATAAATGGCCCAATCTTTCTGTAGGGATTATCAAAGGATTGGAATTGGCAGTAAAGGCATTATCCAAACAGGGTGACTGGTTACCTGGTGGGATTACTATGCAAGAGGCAGAACTGGTTTTTTTGTTTGTTTTTTTATTGATTTCAGAGAAGAAAGGAGAGGGAGAGAAAGCTAGAAACATCTCTAATGAGAGAAAATCATTGATTGGCTGCTTCCTGCACGCCCCACACTGGGGATCAGATCAAGCCTGCACCCTGGGCATGTGCCCTGAACGGGAATTGAACCATGACCTCCTGGTTCATAGGTCGATGCCCAACCACTGATTCATGCTGACTGGACAAGGCAGAACTGTTTTTAATGATTCCTCATGCTTTTAGCTAGGCATTCTAACATGTTTGCCTGGCTTCTTTTTTAAAGAAGAGGAAAAGCAAAATAGTAACTTGGCTGCTAACAAATAGGACTTTGATAATCAGAGTTTTGCTACATTTCAGGGGATAGAGTGGAATGATTGTGCCTCTTTTCTTCTTTACTTAAAAAATTTGATTTCAGAGAGGAAGAGAGAACGAGAGAGAGAGAGAGAGAGAGAGAGAGAGAGAGAGAAACATCAATGATGGTAGAGTATCATTTATTGGCTGCCGCTTGCATGCCCATCAGTGAGGATCCAGCCCGAAACCTGGGCATATGCCCTGACCTGGAATTAAACTTTGACCTCCAGTTTCATAGTCGACTCTCAACCACTGAGCCATGCCGGCGGCTCTTTACTTTTTATGATGGAACTTGTTCTTCCCGGCCAGGGCTACTATAGAAACTGACATAACTCTCAACAAAACATCTCTCCTCTTGCCTAGATCTGGTTGAAGATTACAGAACTGTTTTTAAAGATTCCTCATGCTTTAAGCTGAGGAATGTCAAACATGTTTGCATGGCTTCATTTTAAAGAGATGGAAAACAAAATAGTAAGTTGCTTGGTCACAAATAGGACTTTAATAATAGTTTTGCTGCACTTCAGAGGATAGAATGGAATGGTGAAAAGTCAGCACTTTTTTGCCATGTGCCTTGAGACTGATCACCTAGTCTCCCAGGCCTCAATTTCCCCTTCTTTAGAGTGCTAATATTATCTTGTCTCGAGTTTATTTTTAAGCGTTGTAAAATTATAGGTAAATTCTTTCAGGTGTGGCCCATAGTAGGCGACAAGCTGTTTTTGCTATCCTTGTTATTTTTGTTGCTCAGAACCACTTTGTCTTTCTAAAGTTAAATTAGCTAATTAATGCACAGTCATTCCAAAGACTAGTCTTTGGAGGTGGTTGAACTTGGAAGTTGAGACGTGGCTTACTGAAATCATAAAATTAGAATTTGCGATCCAGGGATTGTAGCGTGCTCCTGTTTTCCCTTGAATATGTCACTGGGCAACTAACAGATGGTAAACCATTTTTTATCAACAGGCATGTCATCTTTGCACCAAGCAGCCACAATAAGTATGCAGGAGAGTCATTCCCAGGGATTTATGATGCTCTGTTTGATATCGAAAGCAAAGTGGATCCTTCCAAGGCCTGGGGAGAAGTAAAGAGACAGATTTCTGTCGCAGCCTTCACGGTGCAGGCTGCAGCCGGGACTCTGAGAGAAGTAGCCTAACGCCCTGCTGTGGAGAACCCATATTGAATTAGTATCTGTCACTCAGAAAGAATCCTCATGGGTGTATTGACAAACTAAAAATTAAAGTTGTGTGTATCTTAGTATTTGTTTTCTTCTCCCTATGGATCAAAACAGAGAGATAGATGATTTTTATTCTCTAATTACAATAGATTATCCTGGAGTAGAAGTATGTGTTAAAACAGTGGTTCTCAACCTTGGCTGCACATTAGAATAACCTGGGAATCTTTTCAAAATCCTGATTTCTGGGCCTCATCCTCCGGAAATTCTGTTTCTTTGTTATGGGGTAAGGCCACAACATTAGTAACAAAGAAACAGAATTTCTGGAGGATGAGGCCCAGAAATCAGGATTTTAAAAAGATTCCCAGGTGATTTTAATGTGCAGCCAAGGTTGAGAACCACTGTGTTAAAACGAAGAAGAACAGCCTAATATGTCAAGACTTATGTGAAATTATCAGGGAATCAAGTCTAATTCAGCACTTTCAAACCTACTCCTGGCATTGCACACAAAGATAGCATCAGTTTGGCCCTGGCCAGTAAGCTAAATGGTTAGAGCTTTGGCCTGAGCAATGAAGGGTCTTGGGTTTGATTCACACTCAAAGATTCATACCTGGGTTGCAGGTTCTATCCCAGGTCCTGGCCCAGGTGTGTGTGGGAGGCAACCAATTGATGTACCATTCTCAGATCAATCTCTCTTTCTCTCCCTCTCACCTTCTTCTCCCTCACTACCTTCCACTCTCTCTAAAAGTCAATGGAAAAATATCCTCAGGAAAGAAAGGAAGAAAGAAAGAAAGAAAGAAAGAAAGAAAGAAAGAAAGAAAGAAAGAAAGAAAGAAAGAAAGAAAGAAAGAAAGGAAG